GGACTTCCTTGAGTTTGCCAGTACAAAACAACTACGCGGCCATACCTACAAAGTCGTGAATGAGCGCACGCGCTTAGATCGCCGAAAATTTTTATTCAGCCAGCGGGTTGTTCGACCGTGGAACTCGATTCCAAGCGAGCATGCAGTCGTATATAATAATACAATATTAAACTTAACTGATGTTTGCTTGTCCTGTGGACGTTTTTTGGGTGGACGTCATAGTCTCACTTTCTAGTCGACAGGGCAATGTGTTGTCCATTTACCTAAAAGCGCATTGATTTGATTCCTAGTACATGAATCTACTCATGTCTCCTGGTCAGAACGTAGTTAGTTAGTTGGTGGCCACGTTAATGAGGATAAATCCAAGTTTACTCTTCCGATTGGTGTAGATAATTGCGTTTTGGTGCAGATGAGATGGCATTCTGCGTAGGCATGTGCGAGTAGAAGCCATTCGTGTCGTAACCGCTGAACCCGTAACCACCAAGCATTCCCTCACGGTTAGCGTACCGATGCTGTCGCCGAAATCAGTGAGAACAACCAGTTTGTCTGTCTTTGGCAGGCTCTCAAGGTGGCCACTCGGATCTTCATAGAATTTGCCTGAGCGGTGTCAGAATTTGCAATTTCAAAGCACAGGCGATGATAAAGATGATCAACCAACTCGTCTGCATTCAACATTGCCGCCATGGGGACCAGAAATTTTTTGTGAAGCTTGCTCTTCACGTCAGCGGAGCAGGCCATTGGAAAGTAGGCAGACACTGGCGACGATCAGTGAATTGTTCTCTCATAGTGGCATCTTACTGGCTATGGTATGATCGCCAATATTCCGTGAGAAGCAGGGTGACCGTCTTACAGCGTCGAATTCGATTATGTTCCAGTTTAAACAGTTTACTTGTTTATTTGTTGAGGATAATAAGCAAGGCCTTTGAAATGACTATTGATCACATTTCAACCCATTGGAAACAACTGCACACGGACAATAAAAGTATTTACTAGCAAGGCAGAACTTGATTCGCTTGAGTAGCATTGTTTCAGAGAAAAAAACACTCCTGGGGCCGCAGACTATGTAGCTCAGGTTCTTACTGCCGAGGGAAAACAGGGGACACAAATAATTATCCAAGCGTTTCTTAAAGAGTTTCAGAGGCGCCGCTGCCTCGACTGACTGAGGGATACCGTTCCATTGCTCCGCTACCCCTCGTGTGAAAAACTCAAAACAAATCTTCCGTTTGGACAATTTTGTCCGTAAATTCATCGTTTGACCATAAAGATGGGGTGAAAGGTGCCACTGAAACATGTCCTAAAGTTCAGTCCATGCTCAAGGCCATGTATTATCTTTTAGACGAGGATAAGACCACCACTTTGCTGCCTGTAACACAGAAGGAATAAATTAAGGCGATTCAGTCTGTCTGTGTGGGATTAGCTTTTTAGACCGTTTAAAAGCTTTGTTGCACGGCGCCGTACGGTTTTGAGGCCTGCTTGTTCCCTGACTAGTCATGGCCGCCGTGCCTATGTGCCATATTCTAAGTGGGGCCGAACGAAGGTGCCGTAAACTTTCCCAAAAAAGGTCTTGATCAAAGGTTACGAACGGTTTTTGATTGCATAGGGCACCCCATGGTGTTTTTTGCAGCCTTGTTGCATTGCCATATTCGCTTAATGTCGCTCGGTATCCAAGCACTGAGACCCTTCTGTGAAAAGCTCGGTGATGCGGTCGACTTTGGCATCCCGGTGCTCTGGTAAATAATGGTGCGCTCAGGATGTGCATCCGGCATCCAAACCCTCGGTTCATCTCGTGCGGAAGAGCAGCTTTCCTCCATCTCCTCCATGACAGACATCTGAGTGCGGTCCTTCTAGACGGATGGCTTCTTGGAGTAGAGATTATTTCTTCATCTCCTTGCTTTTGTCCAGTCTGACCGGCGAAAATCTATTGTTCTTCCTAATGACTGCGGAATCCTACAAGGCTGCATCTTGTCCCCTCAATTTTGTATCAGCTTTGTATTTGTAGTTGAAGGGTTAGAGGCAAAATCCTTGGTGACCGTATTTACTTAAAATTATTTTGCATATTAACACTTAAAATAAGGTTGCAAGCATTCAGAATGTGTTCCTATCACAACAGAACCGTAATAATAGGGAAGTGCATATGTTCACTGTGAGCTAGTACGGAAACATTGAATATGGCAAGGTGTTTTAGAAGGCTGGCTGTGATAAGTCATGTTGTAAGAGTCCGTTTTTTTAAAGTTTACGTAAGCAGGTTTTTTTAAACATGCGAATTATGACAGCCATCACATCCCACTTGGTACTGAGTTCTACCTTCGGACAACCTGTTGGATGAAGAATAGCTTCCTGCGGTCTAACCGCGTGCGTTAACTACTGATTTAGTAAGGAAGACCGCGTAGTTCGTCTGTACTGCCAAATTCGAAGGCATTCTTGAAGTCAAAAAGTACGATATCCACTGGATAACCCTTATCTGTAGTTCTTGTCCATTTCTCATACGAGTATAAAACACAACAACCGTGTTGGGGATTAACATACAATTTTTGTCATTTTCCAGATATTCCATCAGATGTCTTTTCATAATGCGCATCATCGTTTTGCACGCGATGCAAGTGAGACTGCCGGAATGCTAATTTTCGCAGTCAAGGCGTAAATCTCCTTAATGGATCGGATCCGTGTCAGGTGATTTGACAAGTTTCAGCCGGAGTAGTTCGGCCCTAACTAAATCTGACGAAAAGCGTGGCTCTTCGATTGAGAATGGTAGGGAGGGGATAGGAGGGCAAAGGGGGGTAGAAGGAGGCACTGGTTGATAAACGGGTGGAGAGGCAGATGTAGAGTTGGGTTATCGGGTGGAGGCGGACTAAAAGAAGTGAGAAAGGAGGGACGCTTTGACGCAGTCGTCAGTCTCCAGTTTTCCATCCATAAATGTTATAGGGAGCCGGTTAGTTTGTAACGCCGCAAAAGGCGATTTCTTCTTTTGAAAGAAGTCTATTAGAAATAATAATAATAATAGTAATAATAATAATAATAATAATAATAATAATAATAATAATAATAATAATAATAATAATAATAACAATAATAATAGCATTAAATGACAGTTAGTTAGAATTTATCCACTTAAGGTAGATGTAATTATCTTTCTCCCGAAAGGATAGTTGGAATGAACGATCTCTTTCCGTAAGTAACTGAAAGTTTTCGAATTGTAGATTGCCCCACCATGCAGCTGCGTCTCCAGTTATGCCGCTGAAAATTTTCTTCCCACGAGTCAACAGTCCCTTCCCAAATACTTTTCTCCCACGCTTGGTGATATAGTCCTTAGCCACTTTATTAAAAACTTGACTAACCTCCAGTTTCTGAAGGATGACCTGGATCATGTCCGTGCATGGTTGTTGGAAGTGCTCTTTTACTTGATAATCAGTAATCAGACCAACGTGTTTTTGGACTGCCTCTTTCGCCATTCCGGAATCCTTTGACATTCTTTCCAATGAAGAGTATGATTTCTGGGTCCTATTGCTGTTTCATCCTGAAATCTCCTGTCCTCTCTTCTTATTGAAATACTCTGCATCAAAATTCGCAAATTTGTTAATTACAATCGCCTTTAACGTTCCTATGACACACCTCGACCCTAAATCTGCAAATCGATGGATGGCTGCAGTTTCTTCCACATTATTTCTTGTTCACTGGTTATTTTGCTTTCCTATTTGAAAAAAGATACAGTTGCAGATTTTCTCGTAGTCAACGACGACCTTCATTTTTGCCTCACGGATATAAAAGAAAAAATAATGGAATTTGTTGACAGGCAATATATAAACTGTTTGCTTAACGCCCACAAGGATGCTGTGAACAGAGATTGTTGTGAGTGGAGCGAACGGAATTGCGGGAACTAGGGTTAAGGTTGCCTAAGCCTTGGATTGATGAATACCGTTATAGTCGGCTAAGGTGCATCAAAAACATAAAAGGAAGCCCTTGAGAATAAAAAGAAACGAGATTTGTTAACAAAGGGCTGTTAAACAGCACCATGAGCTGTGGGGCCTGCGCTGCTAAAAACAAAAGAAGCATTATCCGACAAGAGACCTAGCTTTCCTCACCAATGAAATATGAACAAACGGAACGGTTCCTGTTCCTTTCAGGCAGTCAAAAATCTACTCACTATAATCGAAAACTTAAGCAACTTCTCCTGGTGAAGCTAGCTCAGAGAAAATGAAAAGACATGATCTTGCGAGAAAGAGCATGCATCGTGGAGGATTAATAAATGAGGCCGGATACGTTTGAACGTTCAAATCTACGTTAAAGTGTTGAATGGACGCACAATAAAGGTTCGAACGGGGGCCTCAGTTCATATTTTAAATATCCCCGGTACAAGGTGAACTGGAAAATCCAGACATTGGCTGATCCATAGCCAAGGCTTGCGGTAAAAAGGTATTCCTTATCGGAGTGCGTGCTTTAATCGCACTTTGAATTGCAATCATATAATCAATAGGTCTATGCGTTTTTCCTTAACGAATCGAGTTCAGCTGAACTGACCTAGGATATTCCATCTTCTAGTAGTATACTAGTAAATGTGGCGGGGAATTTATATGAAATACTTTTGAGATATGTCTCTTATACGTCTGGAAGAAAGTTGCTACACCGGCGGTTTGTCCATGCGACGGGGCTCCCTGATAGCAATGCGTAAGAGTTTGTTTCAGGGTAATTGGCTGAATTCAACACGGCCGTGACAATGACCGTTAATTTTCCTTTTACACGCATGAAAAGATATTGAAAAAGACAATTTTTCTACTAAAAACATGTCTTAAATAAATCTGCCATCTTGAAATATTATATTACTGAACTCCACTATTTACAGTTAATTCATACATGTTCGTGTTTAAATCTGCTATTTTAAATGCAAACAAGTGTATAATTTACAGCGCTGTGATTGTGCGTAACTGTTTGTGATGAATTTGGCGTTACCAGAAGGGACAAAATATTGTGCTTGATAATTAGCAAAGAAAGGTTCCTTGACCGGAATGTCCCGGCATGGCCAAACACGCGAAGACCAGTACGTCGGCCCATACAGGTTAGAAAAAACTCTTGGAAAGGGCCAAACAGGTAATTATCTGTTCACGACGCACTAGTTAAATGACATGTAAAGGTCTTGTAAAAATGGGAGTCCATTGCATTACCGGAAGGCGGGTTGCAGTGAAAATTGTCAATAGGGAAAAACTAAGCGACAGTGTGCTTCAAAAGGCACGCGTACATTTTTCTTTATATTTGAAGGTGGAACGAGAAATAGCAATTATGAAGCTAATTGAGCATCCGCACGTTCTTGGTTTGTACGACGTTTACGAAAATAGACGCTACCTGTAAGTTTTCTTTCGCGATACTAAACTGTAGGTTTTTAATTCTGGAGCACGTATCAGGCGGTGAGCTGTTCGATTATTTGGTTAAAAAAGGACGGCTCTCGGTCAAAGAAGCAAGGCGTTTCTTCAAACAAATCATATCTGCTATCGACTTTTGTCACAGTCATTGTATTTGGTAAGCGCGTTGTGTCAACTATTTTATTTTGTTTGGAAAACCTAAAGAGGTTTGCTCAAATCAAATGGGCTGCCACACTGATGTCGATAAAGTAACATGGCTGCCTGAATTTCATAACACAGACAATAAAATGTCCAGTAGAACGTTCAGACCTAGCTTTTGAGTTGCTCCGCAAAAGTTTATAAACATTTAAATGTAACTGAATACCTGACGACGCTTTATTATATTTAAATTTTTCTTTATTGTTCCTCTGCATGCCTTGAGTTGAAGCCTGAGTAGCCAACTTTTTTTACCCAATGCGCGTGTCATTTGTCTGAGAACATAGCAGAAGACAAATTTTGCACGTCGTTCAGTTTCATTTTTGAACTGGAAATAGTGGAGGATGTTGACAGTTATTTTTAAATTTACAGTTTCATTGTACCGAAAGGACTACGGTTTGCTTTATTGTCACTATCGTGTCCTCTCTTAATTAATAACTGCGATCGCAAAGTCGCCGCTTTAATGTATTTTTGTCCGTAATGTTATTTTATTTATGATGCTAGCCGCTAAAAGGATGTTGGCGGGACCCGACATCGAACGGCAAGGCACAACCAGACGAGTTTGTTTCGTAACGCGTCCGGAGAGTACCCTTTCTATCATTGCTAATATACCCGATCTCCACCGGCAGCACAATTGGCCTGTGATTCAGTGATTAGGACGTTGGGCTTTCAACCAACATGTCGGGGCTTAGGGGCTCAGGGGTCGAAAAAAATGGACGTCGGTTATGACTGACCAATGACCCCCCAATAAGTCAGAAATGGCCATCCAAGTCTCCCTTACCTTTGTCGATATGTATAAAGGACCGAAGTGTTACATCATGGATCCATTAATCTGTTTTTAAAAGATAACACCAGCACGCTGATCAGCTTGAATGGCAACAAATTTGAGCGTGTGCGCTATGAGCGACCGCATCATAAAGATTGCCAAATCGTAATGCAAGGCCTGTCAACATGAGGCGGGCAAGAGGGGTCTTGTTTATAGGCAAACTTCAAACGACTTTTCGGTTATAGATTTATTTTTTATTGCTTGGTAGCCCCATTCAAAAATCGCACTAGGCACTCAGGACGACTTCGCGAGCGCATGAGTCACAGAAGCCCTTTGTCTATGACTTATAAACTTATGACTGAAATACTCATTGAAAGCCAAAAATATATAGCGTATTCTAAAAGTCAAAGCGTGTGACAAGGATCTATTAGGAAGTACTACATATGCACATGCTTAACAGACGTATATAATCATAGGCGTTTGGAAGGGTGAGCTTGCTCGTGCATAAAAATTTCAAGTTTTCATAGAGCGTGGTCCCCACAGCACATGCTCCAAAAAACCTCTTTTTACTTAACTGCGTTTTACTAATTCATTGACGTTTACTTTCGAGCTATAAACTTACCGACACGAACACAAGACCTTATGCTAGGCGTAAAATATATTATTGCAATATATCACATCATTCTGCAGAAATTCGCGTTCATTCCACCTGACTTTGAAAACATGCAGGTCTGTATTCCTGTACGGCATTTGATACATAGGTTTACCACTTTTGCTAATTTTTACAAGAAAATTACCGCCCAAAATTAATTGCTGTTCTACCAAAGCGTTCTTGAAAAATTCACATTTTGACAAAGCCTAATTTATTACGTCAAATTTAATTGCTTTTAGCCACCGCGATCTTAAACCGGAGAACCTTTTGCTTGACAGCAAACTCAATATTCGTGTTGCCGACTTCGGTATGGCTTCGCTTCAACCCGAGGGATCGATGCTCGAGACTAGTTGCGGGTGAGTTTGCCGTTCAGATTTTGAGCATTCTTACAACAAATAAACAAAGGCACTTGGTTTTTTTTAATGTCGTCCACAGCTTGAAAGTAAACAGTTGGAAAATTATTAAAGAGTTCATTGTTGGCTTTCTTCGTGCTGACAACTAGTTAAAAGACTAATTATGCATTCAATAACTATGAGAACGGAGTGTGCAGTTCTTAGATAAATTGACTCATGTATTGAAAAACTAACGGCAACCGAACCTTCTTCTAATTTGTTCTACCCAGCTGAGTGTAGCATGCACATGTTATTATTGCTTCGAGCCTATCTCAATTCTTAAATTTATTGGTACGCAGCAGCAAACAACATTGGTCCGTCATTTTTTAAAGTGAACTTTAAATAACTCAAAGAGCGAGATTTTATTATTTTCGACTGAATTATTTGACTCGAATAGGATAAGACCTATTTCAAGTTTGTTTGTCATCTGACGTTTACTATAAGTAACCTACCGTCGGGCAAAAGAACGTTACCGTGACTTAAAAATGTGGTATTTTAGCCACACGTTTGTTTGAAAGTCGCAGCAGGTGACAAGGCAGTAAGATTGAAAAAAATGGAATTGTTAGCAAAAACAACTCACTTTAGACGCTTCTTTTTCGGGAACAAGGCTAAATCCCGTAGGTGTATTCCTACTACTTAACGCCTGCTCCACATTATGCTGATCGAGTCCCTGTACTGCAATAATTAATAAAAACAAGCTGACACAACTTTACCGAACGTATGGGACACAAGGCAAAGTCTGCGTAACCATTTATTCGTATTAAAACATCAAGGTGTTTTGATAATAAAATACGAGTTGTCTGAATTTGATCACATTTTAAAAACTTTCAAACCGTTAGAGAAACTTGGTTAGTACGTCTTCGAGACCTTAGTATGTCTTTCAAGATCTGCTTTAGGGCTGACTATGGCGGCCAAACCACGCAAATGCTCTGCGGAGGTTTCTCGTAGTCATAGCGTTTATTTTGTTCTTTTGGAAAAGGCCTTGCTTACAGCTTACTGCATTTATATGTTGGTTCTCAGAACACCACCGGATGAAGGTAACACCCATTGTTTCGCTGGGTTTCTAGATAGGGCGCAAACTGGGATGGCTAGAATTCGACTACCAAAGCAGTGCCCGGAACTTCACCTAAAATAAAAACGACCGCGCATTTTAAAAGTACATAAACAACAAGAATTTAGTACCTAAATAGGAATGAAAGAAGTTAATATTTGATTAAATGGCTGCCCCAGCTACAGGCCTTCTCGGGTTTGGAAATCAGGAGTCGTCAACCAATGACGACAGACACGGTAAAAACAGCCAATCCATTTTGCTTCATCATTCCCATTATCCATTCTGCAGAATTGGGGTGTGAACTTGAGCTGGCAGTTTAACTCCGAAGTAGTATATTGTGATATGTTATCGACTAACATGCCCGGCGGTTGTCAAGTGTGACTCAAATATCCTTGTGGTTGCAAAAGGTTGACATAGGTTTTTCAGTAAAGAAGTAACTTGCTTTTGATGCTCAATCTCATGAAATTGTTATAAAAATTATGAAACAGTCTTTGACTACTTAAGCGGGGTGGTAAGATGAAATATTATAGAAAGTAATCTTAAGATATTTCAGTCACGCCAGGACGCCGGCTTTTGAAAGGACTTCTCTCCGGTCGCCTGTAAAAACTGCGTTCTGTAAAAAGTGACAACTTGGATGGTTTTCGATGCCTCCAAAGTTTAAATGCAGTCTGCAGTCCACATGCATAAAACATACTTTTGTTCTTAATTTGTAAACGACCATCCCTCCTCAGAATTATATACTGGGGAAACGGATACCGATTGGTTTTAAAGACCTTTTCGAATTTCTAAATAATGTCGAACTCAATCTACGATTGTACTTTCACTCAGGATTTCCAAACTGTAAGCTGTGCATTTTCGTGCATGAAAAATCATAAATCTCTATATGCTATTAAAAAGACAGCATAAAGGGCTTGTAAAGTTTTCGAATGGAGGTGGATCATAAGAACCATTTGTAAACCGAAGGGTACGAGGTCCCATGAATGGACATCTCACTGCCTTAAATAATTTCGTAATAAGAAACCCTTTTCTCAAGCGTCAAATTTAAAGAAGATGCGATTTTCCGCAAAACAACTACCAACATATTTTATGGGTGTTTTCTTAAGATTATACTTGGCTTTATCAAAAGATCAAAAACCATTAGGAAATTCAAGCTACTTAGTTGGCCACACTTTGGAGAATATTTTGTGCAGACGATCACAAAGAAGTATGCTCGAATGGTGGCATTCTGGCGCCACTGAAATTTTTTGGGATTATGCCGCACGATACTTAATATAAAAAGCCTGCTTAGGTAATCTTTTCGGATCAGAAACACATTTTAGAATTTCAGTTAACATTTATACTATACGCGATGGCTTAATGTAAGACACCGCTAGAATTAAAAAAAATTATCTGTAGTAGCACTACTCGCTGATATTGAACCGGCAGTTCGAAACAATCGTATCAGGCAGTTTGCAGGCTGTCTATATAAGGACTAAATTGCCAACAAAGGAACAGCTAACGTCTTCCTTCTTTGTCTCTCCGTCTCAACGCGAAAGAAAATGACAGTCCCAGGAGAAATTAATGTGAACTCATTTCCGCCTGCATTCACCTCTAACTCCCTCTTTCTCTCTATGGTTCGCTTTACCAATTGGGCATTGTTTAAGTTGATAAGGTCGGCAGATCCGGATGCTGAGTAATCTCTGCCCACGCGTTTTCATCCAACACTACTCAAACTTCCAAAATTATAGTTAAGCCCAGTGTTCTCTCTCATGCTCCCCAAGTAATCATCAGCATAGGAATAATCCTTGTCCTCGACATCATCATCACCACCACCATCACCATCATCGTCGTCGTCCTTATCGTCATCATCGTCTGCAACAGCATCAACAGCAACTGCCATCCCTCCTCCTCCTCCTCCTCCTCCTCCTCCTCCTCCTCCTCCTCTTCTTCTTTTCTGTTTTTTTCTGCTTTCCCTCTTGCCTCTTTTCCAAAACCCGCCCTACCGTCCACCACGCCTTCTGTTTTCAATGTTTGGTTAATCCATCTACGGCAGAAGACCCGCAAGCTGCAGAACAAAGTTAGGAAAATTATTGATTTACCAGTCTGTCTGGTTTGCTATGCATATCGTCAAAGCAGTCTCGGAGTTGTGAAATATAATGACTGCCCTAACTGATAATTTATTTTCAGCGATCCAGATTTTACATGTATGGTGACCGGATCATTGAAAATCTCCATCTTTGTAGGAACCAACAATGACTGGCCCATGTCACCAAATGTGGACTGAATTTCTTAAATGGGTTCTGTATTAGAAAGGATTAGATAGGCCATGACGTAATATTGATAGGTACTTCAGTACAAGAGTCCTAACCAAGCTGATGGATAATGCCCTGGAACTGCAGTAGGTTTGGTTATGGAGAGCACGATAACAGAACTCAATGCTCAAACTTACTTTTGATGAAAAGAAAACTGAGTTGTTGGAACTTGCAAACACTGTAAGCCAAATAAGTAAACCTTTAGTGGGTAAAGCTGAAAGATGACGGTACAATCCCTGACATCTACGCTTACATGCTTATTGCATACGTCAGCTGCGTAGATATCTGTACCAGCTTATCAGTCTCGAAAATAATACGTTCAACAATATGTGCAGCATATTCATTTCTCTGGAAAATAATGCATTTAGAAGCATACACATCTTACTTATATGATTGGTTGTAATGTACACCATGAAAACCGTTGAAATAGAAAACGTGACAGCTCTATGCGATGTAATTATGGACGGTTGCATTTATTGGTACGGTACAAGAGTATTAGGGGCCGGTTTCAGTTCAACGCTCAGAAGGACATGCACAGGTTAGGAATGTTTTCCTTGATCTAGAATGCGATTATTGAGGCTGCTTATGTGGGTACCGTTTCCACGGGCTCTATAAACAAGATAGAATATTGAGGTTGGAGAGGTGTCGGGGGTTTCCGCGTTCACGTATTGCAGCACGGTTTGCCGGTGGATTTCACTGGACTGGTTGCATTTCAGCCTAACCGCCCGCCTTACTTTGTATCCTCCAGCCTCTTTAATGTAGGTTATTTACAGGTATTTTTCGATTTATCAAAATGAGTAGGGTGCGCAGTCTGGACGAATGCCTGTCCGAACACATTTCACTGAGGGTAATTCGCATTATTGGAGGCCAAAATTGGTCGGCATTAAAAAGCCCTACGCCTTTGATAGTGCCTTCGGCGTAGTTCCAACGAACAATGTGTACAGTAGGCAGTTTGGGAGGTTGTTGATTTTACTCTCTGTGTACGACGTCTCAGGCCGTTTTTTACGTTTTCGATCAGAAAATCTTACTAAGGCAGGGTCAAAAGATTGATCATCGTGCAGCAGACTCACGAGCTATTTCACTCTCACCGGGATACTGCCTTCTGAAAACGATTTTTTTACGGCCGGCTGCAGAAATCACACGCTGCAAAAAATCTCAGCTTATTAAGCATGAAATTTTTCCATCGGTTTTGAATTCCTATATCAATTCAAATAAGTTTTGTAAAAAATGTGCATATTGTTTTATTTTCTGTGTATTTTTGGTAGGAAATGTATCTTCTTCATACTTAGAACTTTAAAAAAGGACATTTTTCAGCTTTAAATACGTTTTAAATTCCGGAATACTATTGAACCGACCGTCAGTTACACTGGCGTTCAGGGGTTCCAATCGATCTGATGGATAATTTCCTTTGTAGGGAAAATCCTGTATTTCTTCGCTCTGTTTGGAATACGTCGTATAGATGTCATTAAATTTTGTAGTGGCTGTAGACCAGGTTGTATGCTTCATAAGCATCCATAATAAAGGGATAAGTATGAAATATCTGAACAAAAGATTTTGCGGTTTAAAAAAATCTCATATTCACAAACCTTTTTGCAAACACCAGACATACATTCTTTAAGTACACAGTTAATTAAAGACACAATTTGTCACTAAATGGATGCAAAATGAATTTATTATGCGTGTGTTCGCCATATGATATATTTGGGCCTGTAAAAACGTCGAAAAAGAATGGAAAAATTAGTATCATACAGATTTCAATTTTTCTTCGAATGTGGTTTTTATGGGCAACCGGAAAAAAGCTTATTCAAAAGCCGAAGTCCTGGAGTGACTCACGTGCCCTAGGGCTGTTCCACAAGATGATTAATATCGCGACATCACCTTAACAATATCTCCTAGTCGGAAACATATTTTGAAATTTTAGTTAACGTTTTTGGAGGGCGACCAGTCACTGTATGTGGGAAACATTTAAGCAAATCCTTTTGGTTGTAGCAATTCAGAGTGAAGATTACTGTAGACGTCATGGTCTTATCAACCGCAAATGCATTCGATCCTGATAATCATTCAGGTGGAAGCGTTTTTAGGCTGTAACGGACACAGTATGGTTGCGAATTTGACAGGAATTTCGTGTATAAGGGAACAGAAGAGGGATTGGGAGAAATTATGGGAATAAAAGACGAAAGTAAAACACAGGAGCACCGATCAACCCCGCTGTCCCAACAATCGCTGCTTTCGACACTAATAAAACATATTCGCGCGTGGACTGCAGTCCGCTGGGGTAAATCAAAAGATGAGCGAGATTTAGTTATTCGGGCGACATACTTGCTCAGCAAAGGCTTCCGACAACGGTAATGGATGCTTCTTTCACTGCCACGCCTTAGTTGTTGGCAACAGCTAGAGCTCAAACAGGCATCCACCAATTGGCAGGAGGAAACAACCCTGGCGCCGACTGCGCAAGCACCTGTGTCCCACTTCCGTTGAGGGTCGGCCGGAGGCGGAATTGATCCAGCTTTGCTTTTTATCTTCCCACTAGGCGCATCCTACCAGCCGCTGAGTCCAGTCTAGTAGACGGCGGTAAATAGTCCCTCGTCCCCGTAAACTACTTCCCTGTTTTTTTTCCTGTTCTGTTTCGGTACACCCCCCGCTAGAGAGATTGTGAGCAATTATTTCTGTTTACTTGTTTTTTCTGAGTGGACGTCAAGTCTGGCTGCCAAGCAGAAAACTGACTACATTTGTCAAGAAGCCAGAGGCTAGTTTAAGCTCACGTTTGCACCTACGGACGGGGCTTCTTGACTTGGTCTCTTCTGACACCTAAGCAGCCGGTTTAGTTGTGCTGAACGTCAGACCTAACAGAGCGCTTGAGATAGTAACAAACTTTCGCAAGAAAAACCTCTTAAAGTACAACGAGGTTTGCTAATGTTGGCAGAAATAAACGATCTAGGCAGTATGTTATTACCGACAAAGACAAGGAAAACTGGAATGGCCATTTTTGGCTTATTAGCCGTCGTCAGCTAGTCATACCCAAGCCCGAAGTGTGGAACACCCGAGCCTCGAACTCGCGACCTGTCAGTTAGAAGTCCACGCCTCTAACCACTGGGCCACGGGCCCGTTGCCCTGTCGGTTTCGATCAGGAATACACAATGGCAGAGGACGCTCACCGTTCGTTCTTATGGAACTCACTCGTTCCGCTGTGGCTTACGGGCTATCTATTGAGTCCAACCAGCAACCGCACAGCGGCGCATAATACAGGCAACGGGCTCGTGGCCCAGTGGTTAGAGGCGTGGACTTCTAACTAACAGGTTGCGGGATCGAGCCCCAGGTGCTCCACACCTCGGGGTTAGCTGTGACTGGCTGACGACGGCTAATAAGCCAGAAGTGGCCATTCCAGTTTCCCTTGTCTTTGTCGGTAATAAAATACTGCCTATATCATGTGCCGCTGTGTGGCTGCCGGTTGTGCTCGATAGGGAGCCCGTAAGGCACAACAGAACGAGTGAGTTCCTTAAGGACGATCGGTGAGCGCCCCCACCATCATAAATAAACGGTGTTGTGCGAAAAGCCAACGTCTGCGTCAAAAACGCGAAACTTTGCAGGGGCTTCCCCTCCAAATACACGTATTCCACTTGGTGGCTCGGAGACTGAACCGAAGAAATTACTAGTCAGTTTTTGCAGTATGTTTAAACCGTCAACATCTTTTTGGCAGAACTCGCAAAGTTAGAAGAGAATTAAGTAGTACGAATTACTGAGGAATGCAGCTTAACCATCTGATTTATCAGGTACCATCACCCACACGTAATTTGCAATGACTTATTTCCTCTTAGGATGGTCAAACCCCTCCAACATGAGTTTTTTGCCCAAAGATTGTTTTTCTTGACGGCATGTGATCTTAAAACTCTTTTTACACCTTAAACGAAACTTTTAGATTAGTAGCTTGAAGGGCTTTTAGGCGTTTACTTGAAAATTATGGCCAGGGCCTTCTTGGATTACAGTTTTCAGTAACTAAAGTTAAACGCCCTGATTTTCAATCCTCAGAGTCATCTGGATCTGTCTGATTATAACAATTCGCAACCATTCTTGGAAAATTGATTTCCCAATTATATTTATGTGCGAAATTTCGATGAACATAGTCAGTCAACCGAGGCAGTTTGCGAGGCAAACCAGATCAAATCGAATTAGGTCTCAGAAGACATGGCAGACAGCCTTGGCTGAGAGCTGAAAAGAAGGACATTTAGAGTGCGGTTATTCGAAATGCAAATGTTTGTCAACAATTCATGTTGCCCGTGCTGAGAATCTAAACCTAGTTCGGACATAAATCGTCCAGCAAGTAAGCCTCTCAACACGATAACAGAGTGCCTGCATTTCTTAAGTACAAGAACCCGGCCGGGTTAACTAAAAATTCGACCAATCAAAATCTACTGGAAACACGGGAATGCGGTATAGGGCTCTACATTTGTCATAGGTTTGTTCGTGGAAGGCACGGTAAAGAAATAAACTTCAAAAACATTTGTTTGATGATATAAGTCCCTCGAAAGGAGATTAGAATGCTAGAAATTGCAAACAACAAAAGCTAGATCGGTAAAACTTTGGTAAGTAAAGCCGAAAGATAACCGCCCAACGTTTAACGTACATGCTTACATGATAAATATATACGTCACCTGCGTAGAAATTTGTATTAGATAATCGGTCTCGAAAATACTACGTTCGACAATATGTGTAGCATATTCTTTAATCTGGAAAATTATGCATTTAAAAGCATACACGTTTAACTTCTTTGTTTGGTTGTAACGTATACAAATGAAAAACGTGACAACTTTATATGACGTAATTATAAGGAGTTACATTTATTGGTATGGTACAAGAGTGTTAGGGGCAGGTTTCACTTCAAAGCTCAGAAGGAAATGCACAGGTTAGAAATGTTTTCGTTGATCTAGAATGCGATTATTGAGGCTGTTTATGTGGGCACCGTTTCCACGGACAATATGAACAGGATTGAACACTAAGGTTGGAGAGATGTTGGGGGTTTCCGCGTTCACGCGTTACAGTGCAGTCTGGCAGTAGATTTCAGTGGACTGATTGCATTTCAGTCTAACCGCCTGTCTTACTTGGTGTCCTCCAGCCTGCTTAGTGCAGGTTGTAGAGAGAGGCATCTTCTGAATTATGAAAATTAATAAGGTGCGGCGGTCTGAACGAATGCCTGGCCGAACACATTCCACTGAAAGTAAATCACATTACCGGTGGCCTAAATTGGTCGGCATTAAAAAAACCCTACGCCTTTGATAGTGCCTTCGGCGAAGTTCCAACAAACAAGATGTACAGTAGGCAGTTTGGGCGACTGTTGATTTTACTCTCTGTGCACGATGTCTAAGAGCGACTTTTGTTATATATCTCTTGATAGTCTATTGAACATTATTTATTCGTCCCTGGTTATTTGGAGTCCTAACCGAGTGGCGTTACTGAGTCGAGAAACCTGTTAAGGAACGAGACTTCATTGCGTGGAATTTGTCCCGCCGTGTCTCTAAATTAAACGACCATCCGTCTTCAACTTTGCCATGTAAATATTTTTGTATTAGAGGACTCTGCAATAACTAGGTGAATAGTAATATAAAGACCGTCTTCGGCGCGCGGTGGCCGATTTTGGAACCAATTTTGAAGTTTTTCAAGTGTAACTGCACTGTCCACATGCGCGAACATTCGACAGCTTTAAGGGGTTTGTTTTTGTAAGTCCGCCCCACTAACATCATTGCACATGATCTCTCCTCCTTTAAAGAATAAAAGACATAATAGTTGTATGTTTAAGTGTAAGAAGTCGTCGATCGTTCCTCATTGATGTCAGCCATTCTTTGTCTGGAATAAAACCAATTAATACTAATTAAAACCCCGCTCCTTGGAATCCCACATCCTTTCCCTCTGTTATTGGACAAGTGTAAAGAAGAGCTAAAGTTACAGATTATGTGTGGATTTTTGTCGAACATTATTTCGCATATTCCGAAAACACCAACATACTGTATGCTATCATAGCTGGACATTGAGATTGAAATTGGTAGCACCAGCGAAATTTCGTGCTTCCTATTTTTGGTCAAACACTTGGAGTCAGGTGACTTAGGGGTTCGAAACAAATTGTGACAACGAGACCGATAACTTGCTTACTCAATCGTAAATCCAAGTTTATCCCTTGGAGGCTTAACGGAGTCAGTAGGGTCAGGTACTGTCAAGTGCTTCCTTCCACGATCCGCAATCCTATCCCCCTTTGGTTGACAGGTTCGGACAGTGGACGGGAAGGAGAAGAGAGGGCGAGTATGAGGTCGACCCTGGTACCTCCATCCCTACAGCACTCCAGCTCAAACCTCACTATTAATCAATCAGACGCGCATGAATATGTCATGACGCGCCAAGACTCGTGGCTTACAAGTTTACAGACTGACGGGATAAATCGGTCCTCCTGGTGAGTGTAGCGGGAGGGACTGGAGAACTGGGAGCCAGGCTTAATGGTTTCTTCCTAATGCAGTCTCTATTTACATTATCAAATATACGAGGACCGAGCAGCCCCCAGTTATGGTCTGGCACATGTATCTGAGGCCAGGTCGTGTGTGGCACGCGTAGAGAAGTCGTTTGGCTTCCCCACTACCTCTGATCGTCTGGACACTGTCTTGCCGTCAGGGCAAAGTGGGTGAGGAATGTGTGTGAGAGAGAGGGCGGTAAGTACTGCGCTGGTCTGCCCCAACATAAAATGTTTCACGCGCCAGAAACCAATGCGCCTACTCCGTGCGGCACTCAGTGAACGTCGTTGCTTGCGGCTGTCGAGCTGCCACTAACATCCACTGCCCCGATGCCTCGACAGCAATTAAAGCAGTAGGGTCCAGAAGACCCGCATTTTTTGACGACTGGATCAATCTCGAACGGTGCGAATGTCAGACGCCAAGGCCAAAAGCAACATGGGCGACGGCAACTCCTGGCAGCTTCGCCGGCAAACACGTAGCTGCGATGAACGCCAAAACGTTGAATACTAACATCAACAAACCCCTGTTCAAAATTATAAATTCGCAAAGCGGGTTCAATTCAAAAGGTGCAAAGTAGGCGAAGTATAAAAAACCTGCTTGAAGTATATGGGCAGGCAAGTGTTCACGAAGACTGGAGAATCTCCGAAACAGACCCACAGAAGCAAAATAAGACTGACGTACAAGTGCTGCGATCCGGAGTTCATACAAACATGTCCATAGAGTGTTCCTGCGGCGTGTTTCACTTACCCTTTCCTGGACAGTGCTCTTTTTATTTAAAAAACTAGAGAGCCCAAAAAAGAAGAGTACGAATAATTAAATAGAACCGTGAGTTTTTTGAGTAGCTGATTGAACCAAACCCCTATGACACCGCCCTGCTGATTGGCTATGATTCACAATCCTGCAGCTCTTCCACCAAGTTTTTTTCCAATGCACAAGGCCTGTTTTTTGCCTAGCTGTCCGCCGAAAGTAATTACAAGTTAGACCTCTCCAACGCTCTGAGCCAGGTCGCCGTCTGCCAACGTTCTTCTAATATTTCGGCAGGTTTCGGGCTGGTTTTCTGCAGAAAATGGTGCCCGTTAGCGGTGTCTCCAGCAGTCTACAGTCTACCCTGACGCTGTCCCGCTACCGGTTTGCCGACATCCAAAGTTAGATGTAAAAGCCTACTGAGTCGGCCGATAGGTGACTAGCGGCAAAACAGACTAAAATGGACCGAACTTGCGCCACTCATGGTGGTCGATGTTTCACCAATCTTCATTTATTTATACTCAAACGGGGGCAGGAGGAGGATGAGGCCGTCTTGCGGCGTGTTCCAGCTAACCCAATTTGACGAGCCCTCCCCATGGGAAACTCCTGATTTGGGACCGTTATACAAAATGCAGTTACATGCGTTTCAAGCACTTGACAAGGAGGCATGGGAGCAAGCGGATTTGGTTGTTCTCGATTCTCCTCAGAGAGAATATCAGAGGACATAGTAAAGGTCAGATGTGGTTATGTAGTCACACTTGAGGTAAACAAAACCCAGCCACCTGCACTATGGGACCGGTGGTAATAGGGGTTTTTACAGATGGGGCCGGAGAACGCACAGGCAAAGAGGTCAAGTAATTGTATGCAAAAGAAAAGCTGTTGGGAATGCGCGGTTTGAGAAATAGCTGCCCTAAATCCTAACCCATAACCCTTACCCCAAGCTCTAACCCAAGCCCCAATCCTAGCCCTTATCCTCTAACTCTAACCCCTAACCCTAACCCTTAACCGCAGCCCTAAACCTTAATCCTGGAACGCCGAACACGACAATTAAGAAGGACCACAAGCATCTGGCCGAAAATGGTAGACACGGCAACAAAGAAACAAGGCCGCCAACAGAACACACACCCCAACGCACACCAACGCCATCCCAACGTAATCAGACCAACTCAAAATAATTAAGTAGGTGAACAGTATTGTGTCCATCAGGTGCGGCTACATAACAACAACTTATCGACATAAATAGTAATGCACTCCAGAACAGTGCGACTCCTTCTCCATGCTACAACTTGCTAGCATACCCCAGGTTTTGTGCGACAGAGGATTTTGATGCTGCCAACAGACCTTACGATGCCAAATATAGTGAACTTGCCAAACCTGGCTAAATGGGTGAAACCTTCTAGACTCAATTTTTGTGAGCCAACGCCGGACACAAAACAGAATAGAACTCACAGAAGAGATGTGCACGAAGCAGAGGGAATGAGGAGGTCACACCAGATGCATGTTTTAAGACACCAAGGCCAGTATCGTCTGCGACGATCAGACGATTTATTTACTCTACGTGAAAAGACAGCACGGCTTTGAGAGTGACCTTTAGGTGATATTACTTGCAATAGTGGACACCGACTGTCAAGTGACTTCACTGGTAGCGCATGATGTTGCCTCAGCGCATACTATTTTACAGAAGTCAGGACGATAAGAGGGATTTTTGGCGAACCGTACTGATTTCGATCCCTCGAGATCACAATACTCGAATTGAACGTGCCATAACGCAACACTGAAACAGACGGAATTTCCACTGCCAATCGAAGACGAAGAGTTGAATTTGAATCCTGGAAGTAATAGGCTATCACTTTAAATAAAAGGTGACAGTGCACACAATTTATTTCAAACAATCATCGCACCACGTACTGCCATCTACGCTGGATGTGCGAACTGGTAATTTTGACAGGTATATCGTCGCATAGCCATTTAAAACTGTATACGCACATCCCTTTTGCATTAATTACCCTTATCTGCTGCTATCTCTGAACGCAAAAGAAAAGTCAGACAAGTAAAATTCTTAATCCGTCAATCGGGCCTCCTCCTTAGTTGTTCTCTAGGACACGTTTTCTCACTCCTAGTTTAAGCACACTCCAGAACAAGATCACTTAACATCTGTTGAATTTGTTTCCACTTACGTAGACCTTCTAGAAAACTCTCCTCTATTGGAGGCACAAACACTAAGTATCTGATAAGTTGTAACCTTTATGGGCCGAAATAAACGTCTGAATCACGAAAAACTGTGTTGAACGGGGGGAGGGGGCGGCGAGGAGAGTGCGGTCGTCTTAGTTAAGAATTTACTTGCCCGACTGTTCAAACTCGTGCTTGAATCCGTTAAAGGAAAAAAAACGACTGACAAATATACTGTTAACTTGTGGCTTATTGATGCAGACTCGTAGCTTTCATAAATCAGCTCGCTAAGAGGAGACGGAGGGCGAAGGAGACATGCCACATAGACGTCCAGACGGTCGTTGGCGTAAATCTTTGCCCACTCGCTTACAGATGCCGGCAACGGTATGGAGAAGAACCGCACTTTACTGTCGGTAGACTGTGGATCGTGTCACACATGATTGGCGATAAGGGGAGTTTTGCGGGTGGTGATGCCGACAAAACGCAGGAAATTGCAGAAATTGATTAAATATGTTCCGAAGGGCTCATCGTACGTTCTCGTACGACATTGGAAATGAGCGCGGTAATAAAAAATATAAAAAGGAGTTTGAGCGATGGTTGAAGCCATGGGAAGTGATTGTTATTGGCAGTGAAATGTCTGCAAAGGTACGCGATGGGAAGCTAAAATGAAAGCCCCCATGACGTGATTCAGGTTCTGCCGTCGGTTAAGCGGGGTCCTTCTCCATACCATTGCCAGATGCTAATACAAACGACTGAATCGGTATAAGTAAACACCAGAGTTGGCAAATATTCATTCTCTGAAGATAAAGTCGAACATGAGTTTGAACCATCGGGCAAGTCCATCTATCTGACCCGATGATTTCTGACAGCGAACGAGCCAGAAATGGCCATTCTAGTTTCCCTTGTCATTGAAGTTATCGATATCCTGCTTATATTACGTACTGCTATGCGACTGCTGGCAGGACTCGAGAGACAGAGAGAGAGAGAGAGAGCGATCCAAGACAAAACTGGACGAGTGGGTTCCGTAAATCGATCGTCGCGTCCACCTCTATCGCCATATTATTCGTCTGAATAAATTTCCTGGGTGGAATGTTTCGGCCTCATTCATAGATGTTAAAATGGGTACTGACTGGCAGGAGGACGGTAGGATAGGATTTGACATGAATAAAATCACATAGAATATGGTGCACTATCTATCATGGGTGAAGTACCATGCTCTAGATCTGGAGTTCTTACAAACTGTCGTATAGGTAGTAATCAGGGTCGCGGAAGAGACAAAGGAGACCTCAGCCAGCCAGTCATTGCCCCAAGTCCCGTCTGGCATCTGATATTCGAACATGAGTTGACTGGTTATCGCACATTTGCAAATCAAACACCTAAGCACCAGAGACACGAGTTCATGCCATGTCTGTTGCGATTGGAAATGTCCAGACACATACGGATGTGACGTCTGTCCAACCTTTGAGGTCTGAGTATAAATCCCTCATAGATAGTTGCGCAATGACGAGCAACCTGTCAGAGGGACATGCTTCTGGGAAAGGCAAGAAGACTTTAAATATCATTTTTGCAGATAGAAAAAGTTACTGAACGCCACTCCCGTGTGTCCGCGTGGTCCCAATCGTGTCGGGTACGGTAGAACGTTTGGCTTGAAGGTGCGGTGTGACCAACAGACTCGTGATCAGTTCTTAGCTGATTATTCGTGGCGGACTGACGACTTACATGAGTGTACTCGATGTCTACGGTTGGTTACTTTCAAATCCACGGTACAGAAACCGGCGAACCAGTGCTCGGAACCTCGACACGCAGCCATCACACCCGCTTTACCTGTCCGCAATCTTCAGGTACATTCGTTTACCGGCATGGGTCTACTCAGCCACATTCGCCTCCATGCAAATTTGCCGTACAACTACGCAGACCAACCCTTATCTCCAAAAGGCTTCCTACCGGCACGTATCCCATGCATAAACTCCTTCCACATCGCCCACCACAGGCACAAAATAGGCACCTCTCACATAAGTGGGAAGCGTGTTCTTTGGATGCTTCTCCATATAGCCTCAATGGTCCTTTAACGCACGTGAAGTCCCAGCAGCTCGCTCCATTGGTGTAAAAACCTGATGTGTTGTGGTACCTGAGGAAGTCTGGTGTGACTCGCGTAGACAGACTGTTTCAACAATGTCAGCAACTGCGTTCCAGCTGTGTGTTTGTGTGGAATGGCCAAATGGTTGACCAAAACCTTATTTAATGGCTACTTCTCCATGTGGCCTGTATGGAACCTTTTCGCACGTGAGATCCAAGCGGATCATCCTTTATGTAAACTTGGTTTATCGCGTGGAGGGCAGGTCATGTGGAGCACATGCAGATACACTGGGCCCAATACCCGCCTCAGATGACCGACTGGCTCCGTCAGTGAGAGAGAGAGAAGAGATTGAGGTTGATTCTCTCGACTTGGTCCCAGCGCATTCAGGACATATTCCTCACTACAAACAATCCAACGTGCTTTTAAATTATCATTGTTCGCTAAAATCCGTGACATGAAAGCCTTTCAATACTGACGGGATGAGTTTGTACCTCTCTCAGGACTGAGAGTCGGACTGCAACACCTCCTCCCTCATGTAGCGTCTATGGCGATCCCAACGGGTTTGGATCCGAGCCCCTTTCTTGTGTGTACAAAAATCCGATCAATCGTGTAGGAACCAGGCGTGTGTGACACGCGTAGACGGGTTTTTTAAAATTATTTCAGCCACTGCGCCTGATCCCGTCTCCGAGTTTCTTTGGTTTGTCATCACAAAGGGCCTACGTGTGCGGTGGAGGAGGGTGTGCAGCAGATGCGACGAAAGTCTACCATCAATATAAATTAACTCATGCGCAAATCACACCGTCCCTGTGCGAAATTGGCTGTGAGACACGCAGTGACTATCGTCGGTGAAAACGGTCGAACCTTGTCTGCAAGGCCAACAAATGCCTTTTCGTCTCTAAGGTCCAGATGTGATATTTCATCAAATACTAATTTTTCACATCCGGTCCTCCATCAGGGGCTTGACTGTATTGACGGTGTCAACGGCCCAGTTTCAGCTTGCGTCTTTGTGGCCGGTAGCTACCCATTCATCCTGTATCTATCGCAAGATCCGGTATAGTTTAACCGTTCGGGGCATGTGTAACTAATGGTATATGGTGCGTTCTCTATTAAGAGTTAACATTTAATTACCTCCGCATAGGATTCTTTCTCCTGCCTACAGGATTGGTTTCTTCCGTTGTGTCCTGTTGTTTTTTTCCGCTGCCTACCTATCCTACTAATAGTGCCCTTCGTCCGTCAATTATTACGGCAATCAGTGCAGCCGCAAGCACGCCACTAGATCGTTTTAACACCACCTCTCCAGTAAAACTGACTTCTAGTGTCCTCCACCTCCACCACCTCCTTCTCCTGCTTCTTCTTCTTCTCCTCATTCTTCTTCCACTTTTTCGGCAGTCTACTGTTTATTTGCCCATCAAAGCCACAAGAGAGGCGGCGGGGCAAATTTGCTAATCTTTGGATGTAGTGGGAAAATCACATTAGTGGCGTATGAGTCAGCGTGCAAACCAAGAGTCGCTTGTTCTACTGCCTGCGTCAAAAAACAATCTCGAATACGGCGACGACGACAGGCAGGCGGGGAACGTGGCGAGGGCGCTTCACAATCAGTCCCAGGTAGCTGGACTGCAGAAATTAAAAGACTTTTTTACGCCACGGTAGCTGGTATTACGCTGCGGAGCGTCGTTTAGCCGATGCCTCTACTTCAAGCGGCAGAAAGGACTGCAAATCCAGGCACTGATCGGTGTTGTTTGTTGAATTCCCTTTTTAATGCCTTTGACTGGCGGCAGAAAAGGCGTCTGTTTAAAGCTAGGGATAAAAAGGACGATGAAAGAACAACGGCTTCTCAGCCTGCCAAAGCCATAGCGAGGAGGCGGGTCCTGGAAACTAGCTCACCCGTGAGAGTTTTGAGGGTGAATTTTCAATTCCCGGCATGTCGACCGTCACTGGTTGACCATGTTCCAACCCCAGGCTGAGAAACTCGTGGGCGGAATCGAAATCCAGTTATTTATTAAGCGATGCTCTATCGGCTTACGAGAATTAAGAAATCATCAGTCCATGAACGTTTGGTTAAATTATAAAACTTCGAACTGAAGAAACCACTCGATTCCTGAATCCTCTACTTAGACCTCGTTGAACCGTTAATATTCATGGTAGCCAATAGGTGCAGATTTCAACCTCTACATTTTAAAACCCCAGGATGAGGACTTCCAAGGCGCCATTAAAAGGCAGATGTGGAGCACTCCGTAAATTATGGCCAGACACAACTCGAGAGCGAAGAGCTGGTTGTTATACGTTAAACCTATCAGCGGAGTTTATAATAGTTTTCGAAGGATAGGCAACTTGCAGAAAAATTAGTTACGTAAGAATGAAGGACAATCTTTGACCTAGGAAATTACGCCTCTCATGGATAACATGGGATAATCGGTGAGGATTCGGAAGGTTCGACAGAACACTACAGATACGCCGGCTGAATCCCACTAACATGACCAGGTAAATAAATTCACTCGTCGCCGAAATCAACTGACAAAGGGATGGTCGTTTTCATGATTCTGAGAACCGCTTTAGATGGAAGATACATATTCATGAGTAAGTATTTGTCTTTATAATAAACAATTGAGAGTCTTTGAGGAGCGACGTCTGCCAATATCAGTAATTCTAATACCTCAGAACTCTTACCAAGGGCCAACAGTTTACCAGATCACCAGAAAACGTTAACCAGCAAATAATAGTTGCGAAAATGAGGGCTAAATATTCACCGGGTGACAATTTTCTTTCTAACAGACGTTTCAGTGTGAATACGACAGGCCTGGGAGTCCGACTTTTTGGTCATTTAGAACAGAGTCATCGACACGCATTTCTTATCACAGACTTGAAAACGGATCATGCGCCAAACATGCGGACAATTGCATGTTTGTGTCTGATTATGCGCGGACGAAATTCCTGTGCTGGCGAAACTTTGCTCTAGATTTTTCGCTTATGGCCGTCCGCCTGGACAAGGTTCGAGTGAAAATCTGGGACTTTCTTTCAATGTCTCTTTCGTGACGCGCTTTTTTGAGAGTCATATTTGGGACTTTGAAGTTTTCCGAATAAAAGGATTTTTCGCAGAGCAAACAAGAGTGCGATCGCAGTGCAGTCGCGCTAGCACTCTAGGCAGGCAGAGAGGGTTCTTTTCGGCCTAACCCGTGAAATTGTATTTTCATTTAGTGTGTGTGGTTTTTGTTCAGCCGATTTTGTCAATCAGGTGTTGGAAAGCTCATGCGTTTATGAGTTCACCTTCGAATACTCGATCCTCGCAAACAACGACCTTCATCACGAAGTGAGCACAGGAAAGTGACTTACGCGTGAATAAGTCTGTACCGAGACAGGCTTACAAAATAGCCGTCTCACTCTCCTCTCTTTCACCCATCTTGGGTCAGATGTAGTTATGTAGCCCCGTCAGAAGTGAACAAACCCCAGCCATCTGTCATACGGGACCGGAGGTGATAGGGGTATTTACAGGTGGGGCCGAGGCACGCACAGGCGACGAGTTCAAGTAGTTATACGTAAAAGAAAAGCTATTGGTTGTACTTTGAGTGGAATAATTCCAACCTCTGACACCTAATTCTTACCCCTTACCCCTAATCATCATCCCTAACCAAAACATCATCCCCAACAGTATTGTGTCTATCAGATGGGGCTACATGACCACATCTTACCTCACATTCCTCTGACGGGAAGAAGGTAGGTACGACAGCTAACTAGCCCCTCTAAGCGTGCCATACACGACCTAGATCCACATTCAAGTACCAGGCTCCCGAAGGGTCTGTGTGAACTTCACATAGTTGTGGGTGTTCGAAAGCCGCGTTCAAAAGCAGTTACTGAGTCCGAGTCGCAGTCCTAAGAAGAACCGAGCTAGCATATCAGTTAGCAATCCAAGCCACGAAATTTAACGCATCGTAGTAGGTTCATGCGTGTTATGCGGATGGATTCCCCGGGGACGGGCCTCATTCTCTTTTCTCACTCCTATTCGCCAATCGTCTGTCTGAGTCTGTTAATCGGCCGGTGATTGGAGTGGGCGCAATGGCTGAGGCCTGCGTCTGGCGGACAACGACCTTCCTCTCTCATGTAGGCACTAAGTAGGAGCACGCGCGCAGACTGGTTAACGCGCGCCGTGGGCCAGTGTGACCGTCGTTTTGGTCCAGCACTATTATAACGCAGCTCCTTTAAGGGGGTGGTCAAAATCAAGACACCTAACACAGTTGGCTCCACTTTCTGGCAGGATGCGAAATAGACAGCCCGAGGTTACTGCAACGCATAAGATCTGCCCAATCAGGTAGGAGTCAACAACTGCTGTTGGCTCGAGCAATGCGATGCAATGCGTACTGCGTCACAATGGATTTGAAGCTAAGAAGATGCACTAAGGCAGGGCAGCAACAGGAGCTTTGAGCGCGAAGATTCCGGTTAAATAACAACCTGCGACATGCAAAAGTTCGGCCGGCGCAAGCGATGATGTCCACCGTGTGTCCCGCAGACGGGCCGCAGAACGGTTACTTACGCATGAATTCGTTTGTAATGAGGCGCACTTGCACAGCATCTAACTCACGCTCTCCTCCCCCACCTATCTGTCCCTGGTAGTAAATCATTGTCATGGCGACCGGCGGTTTCATCGATTACAGTGGCCGACAACGCAAAACGGCCCCTCTACACATGCTGCATATGATCTGACCTCCGCATGATGCATCCAGTTGTACAAGGCAAAGGCGACAAAGCACGCAGAATTTACTGACGTCATAAATTTCGAGACCTCTCATTCAGCTGCACACGGTCATTGCATAGTTATATGACAAGGCAAACTGTTCAATCAACGATCGACCTAGAGAGATAAAACGTGAAAGGTAACCTGAAGCAGGATCTAGTATGCGGGTGCATATGGCGAGGGGGGAGGGGGAGGGGGAGAGAAGTCGTCCAAGTATGAGAGAACTTGTGCGGCGTGATTTAGAGTGCAACGTGCGGGGAGCATTCAGTCATGCCGGGGAGAGGGGGGCGGGTGGGGGCGAAATGAGAAGGCGTACATGGGAACAGGGTTTCGTCCATAATCGATAATTACCATGGCAGTGCCAGGTTTATCACATGGTCCAGCTGCTTACAGAGTTCTGGTTTCCTCCTCCGTATTGCAGCGGCCTCTGCAAAGCGCAAGAGACGCCCGGTCGTTGCCCGAAACAGGACCTTGAATGCAACCATTGGGTCCACCGTATGGCCCGTGTCCACTAGGTGCTTTGTGATTGAGCTCCTGGGTACCTTATTTTCCGCCTTAAGCAGCCACTTCGGCATGTGTTCAGCTGACCGAGCTACCAACTGCCTTTGCGTGCGCCCAATGTACTTGTATCCGCAACTACATGTAAACTCATAAATACAGTTTGATGTGGCGTGCATAGGCAAAATGTCTTTAGCTGGTCTAACTGGGATGGCGGTTGTGGTGCTTATGAACAACAATTTAGAGGCGGCATACGTCCTTTCGATAGTGCACCGAAGTCGTCGCTTGATCACATTTGACACGTTATCACCCTTGAAGGGGAGGTAGATGGTCAAGGACTATTTAGGTACAGATATTTCTTCAGGAGTTTCTTGTCTGGGATGGCGATATTTATCGATGAATTTCTCCGGATACCCATTTGCAAGAAAAACGTTCTTTAGGAAAGTAAGCTCGTCATCGATCGTATCTGAGGAGCAAATTCTGGTGGCTTTATTGAACAGGCACAAAACCAAGTTTCGTTTTCTCTGAATTAGAACGAAACTGAGGAAGTGCATGTATTGTCCTTTCCAGGTGGGTTTTCGACAGATGGATCTCTGAATAGAGCCATCTGCCCACCTACGCACAAGAATATCCAGGAAAGGCAGTGTGACATTCTTCTCATGCTCGATCGTAAATTTGATCTTTGCATGTGCTTTGTTCAGAGCCTTGAGTAGTAGTTCTCTGTCGCCTGGGTTTCTGACTATAGCGAAAATGTCATCCACATATCGCCTATAGAATGAGGCTCGTTGTAAGTTCCGAGCTAGTTTTCGCTCTAGATTAGCATCCAGTTGTCACGGTAGCAAGGAGGACGGATCGGATCTCGCGACACTGGGAGTGCTTTAGAGGCTATATTTAGAAGGGAACACTGACTCTGACGCTATATCCACCGGACAGCTATCTTACATGCACACAGTATTGACCACGGGGTACGTATTTATTTATCGTGTCCGTCGTCTCAGGACATATTGCTATACAAGTACTTAAGCTTCCGTTGAAGTCTTTAACGTGTCCAAAATCATTGGTGGATTTTAAAGTTATTATGAGTTCGTGTAATTTGGTAACTTCTGAAAACACTTCCCGTTTTTCACCTTATATATGTCATGTTATATATTACACGTCCCTTACGCCTTTTAAATTTTAAAATACTTGGTCTATACCCAACCCGCAGATAACGTTTGGCTGTCACAGATACTTTTTACTCACATGCTACCCACATACAGAGAGTTGTAATGCTCTTTTTCGCAGTGACCTGGGGAGTGTTGCAAAATTTAAATTATGCTGTAGCGACGCTGTCATGATGCTAGAGTTACTTTCACTGGGTTAGTTGTCAAGAAGGCCGAAACAAAAGGTTTTGATAAAGGCGGCATGCAAACGCGCCTCTCTACGTACGGATACGGCAGAAACTCCCTTCAGCGTGCAAACTGATTTTACTTGATTCATTGCAATAGTGAAGTGGCTGATACAGAGAATATGGGCTTTTCATTGTTGTTGTTGTGACTACATAAAATCCCTGCTTTCCAACTGCAACTCCCAAGGTTCTTTAACGCGTGGAAACAACTTGCTTTGGTAAATCTCACGCTCTATGGTTTACGCGCATGTCCAGAAAAGTAACACGACGTAAAAGTTCTCTGGAGAACTGAAGTGAGCTCAATCTAACTCAATTTATCGGGCTTAGGCCACAGACACCGACGCGCGTCTTTGATTGCCTATCTCACAAGGCCGGTTTGAGTCAAGGAGGACAAAAATGAACGCCTGGTGCAAAGCCGGTTTCACTGAAAGCTGGCAAGCTAACAGAAACACGCAGTTCGATAACAGCTTGCGATCAGTCTCGTCCATGTTGTGTCTCCACTTTTGTAAACTTTTGCGCGCAAAAGGCCGCTATCTAATAGGAATCTCCACGTAAACCGATAAAGGCAACTAAGCTGTAACATTTTGCTGAGTTAGCTCTGATGTAGAGTCTGGAAAAAGAGCTACTCACAGTAAATTGCATTACAATTCACTGCGTTGGAATTCCAGGCAATGCGAGAAGGTTGACAGCGGGCGTGGGCAATACCGGAGATCACAGTTAAGTAGTGAGTCACAGCTGAATCCTTAAGACTTTAAATCATCAGGACTGCCCACAACGATTCTTTCCAGAGCGATGCAGTTACAACAAAACAGGTCGCTAACTAAACCGCGCAGAGCTGTATAAACAAGTATAAGTGAATCTGACTGACATTTAAATGCAGCTTATCACTTGAGTACGACAGTTCATGCCGATGTCTATATTCCTAGTGGTTTCAGTCGTTGTTCATGATTGAATACTACACAATAAATACCAGTTTTGGAAAAACTCCTCGACGCGGTATTTGACTATTTGGCAGACCGGGCATAACGAGGGCAAACTATGCGATTCCTAGGACTTAAAAAGATGCATATAGTTCTTCGGGAATGCTACGCTCCTAGTTAATAAGTACTAGGTTTCTTCGTGCCTTTGTTTGTCGGAATTTAGTAGCCCTAACTTTGAGAGGTTCAAGTAGGGTGAGGTAGTCCCGGTTCCAACATTCCTTCGGGGCAATAAGATGTTTTGTTTTGTGTTCGTGACGTTTCTCGCAGAAAAAAGGACATTTTGGCCTCGAGGGAAAGATATCGCGCGAAGTTAGAATTATAATCCCGGATAATGTGAAAATAAATAGAACTGGGGCAGTCAGTGATTTAAAAGGCAGTGCTGCTTTTCATTTAAGCGAGGGCTCTGTGTGACAGGGTTCTACTATCACAAATTTTTATGACCGAATCTTCATCGGAGCATATTACGATGTGAAATTACCGACTTTCACCGCCTCTGATGGATCGCAAATCTCTTAAAACATTACAGCTACAAACAGGAACGACGAAGACTCACATCGCCTTTTATCAGCATCAACCCAGTCGTCTTCAGTACATGTGCTTGCAAACGATACGCGCTGGGCGCAAGAGGAGATACGGCAACACTGAGATTCCTCCCGTATCTCACTGGTGGAGTTGAGAGATGTAATCCGCTGACATATTTGTGGACCTTTTGTAGACATGAAAATGGTGCGAATTCTTGGGTGGGTTCATTAATAGAAACTACGTCCTGCTGAAGCCAATCAAAATCACCCATTTTGCTATGGATAATGCCGTGATTTTAAGCGGACTACCTGGACAAAATTGTTATAAACTTTGAAAAGTCTTATGTCAAAATCCCGGGTACTTCTTCTTGCTCCAAAGCTCAGTACGTTGTAAAATTTTATTCCTGTACTGGAGCGAAAGAATTCTATGTTTTTTAATGCAGACACACCCAAAATTAACATTCCATGCTTGACGACGATGATGATGATGATGATGGTCGTGGTCTTTGACAGAAGTACGCTTTTAAAGATTTGGTAACCACAACGAACTCTTTAGTAATCATGGCAGTGCAGCTCATGTCTGCTTTTATGGCCGTCATTATGTATTCAGTGGGCAGTTGGCAGACAGCGTCGACTACAGGACGTCAGTACTTAGGTCTGTTCAGTGTATGCTTATTTTGGCACATGTAGAGGCCGAAAGTTTGTTTTTGACCAAAGGAGGTGGGAGTGAATGAATACTTTTTCTGCCCTCAAATTCTTCCCCATTCTCAGTTACACTGCTTACGACTCTTCATTTTCTCTTAAACATGGAAGATGAGGTATGCTTGTCAGCGACGTTGTTTACATGCTCGCTCAACAGTGTACTTTAACTCTTCTTGTGGCCAAAATGAACTATGACGCCGATTTTCATGCAGTATTAATAAACCTTCAAAATCAGTCGTCAGATCTGCAGGTAGAAGCGAGCAGGCGAGTTCCAGGAAGCTGCTCAGAAGAAGGGAGTGCGTTCGCTCAGACAAATAGTTTAGTGGGCCTGTGTTTTTTACGTACATGAGGCAAAAAGTCATTATGCATTTACGCTGGTCGACCGTGAGCTTGTGGTATACTAGTTTAATACTCTGCAAGTCTGTTCCTATCAGTATTTATTGCGGACGATTTACAAAATCCGTTAAGATACTGAAGCACGGTTTAAAGCTAACCTAATACAGTTTGAGTTTTTCTGCATGATACCTGTTCCTTGAAATTCTCACTCATATAATGTTTGCAAGACAGCTTGGTTCCTACGTTGATGGGTGCACTGAAGAATGAACCCGATCATGAGAGTAGAAGTCAAGTTCATTGGGGAAAATCGTCTAATATGACGCATAGCAAAAGCATTTGATAGTTTAATCGCCACAAGCGGCAACGTGCACTACGAGTTCCAGAGAGAGAGTGCAGCGCCGGTGACCTGGGCGTGAATTAGTTTATAGTGATGAAGACTTGCACTGAATTTATCGCACTCTTTCTCACCTCAAGCGATCCGCTCGGTTGGCAGAACAGTGTTAGACGCTGGACGCGGGTAAACTGACTGACCAGGGCCGACAGCCTGACAGCTACACACGAAATGGTGCACCTTGCTCGTGTCAGACTACTACTGCGCAGGCGCCTCGCAGGTCACATGCGTGAGAGGGCCAAAACGGGCACACTGAGAAGGACCCAGTGAAGCCTGACTTTCAATCGTCCGGTCAGCTCAAAGCACTCCCATAGGGATCGGGTTTTCCTCTCAGTTGTCAGCAATCTAAGTGACAACTGTTAACGCGTCCTGATGGATTCATGCGCATTAAATTTTCAATAATGAAGGCGACGCTGATTTGCTCTGAGGATGGTTTCCCCAGTCTCGCCCTAACTCCCGCTTGTTATCACCTGGTGGCCGCCCCACAGACGCTGACCATAAAGTCCTGGCATTTACAATGTCTGAGCTATCTCCAGAATCGTTAACCGAAATTCTAAAATGGGCTTTCAGGTGTAGAGGACTACTCAGGTGGTGTTATAGATTTTGAATATCTTGCAGTAAAACCATCGGATATTGCTGTCCCGTCAAGATGGCGGCTTTTGAATAAGCCTCTTTTGGTTGCCTGTAAAGACCACATTTTAAATAAAGTGGGTTTTCAAGTAGTGTGGTTATTGTCCATTAATTTATGTTAGGCCTGTAGATCCAAATGTATTGTTTATAGGAAACGGGCACAAATATTCCCTTTTGTACATATCTGGTGGAAAATTATGCCTTTCTTTAATTTTAACGTCCAGAAAAGTATTTTCCAATGCAAAAAGTTTACACTTGAAAAAGTTTTCAAAACTGTGAAATATTCATTTATACAGCATTGTATCTAAACGCTTATTAATGCCGCATTTGAAGACTGTACCATGGCCAATGTTCAACGCAAAACTACATAAACCCTATATTTTGCCTTCCTAGTTGCGTAGGTAGGCAATTAACCTTCTTGGACAGAAAAAAAGTGCAGCGCAAGTGCAACTGCCGGTCGCGTTTAAAGTTATTCCGGGATTTAAAAAAAGTATTCTTTTAACTCAAAGAGGACTCTTTCTTCAAGTACTAAATTTGAAGAGGGCATAATTGTCTACCAAACTATTACAGAAAAGTATATTTGAGTGCATATTTGCCATAAAATATATTTTGATTTGTATAAACATTTAAAATTAGGAGAAAAAGTAGTACTACCTAAGTAGCCACTTTGACGCGAATGTTGTCTTTGAAGACGTCAGAAAGAAAGAGCATTCAAAAGCCAGTATCATGACGATTAGTTTTAAAACACTGCTATCATTTTTATTTGAAACCTCATTTAAAAAATTTCGTTAACATTCCATAAGGTAGGCCAACTAATGTTTATATTGTTTTCATAGATTTTTTGGCAGACCTATTTAATTAGCATGGTCCAATTGGGAATAAGATACCCAGGGTGTGTGTTTTTTGATAAGTTTTATTTCAGCCCCATCCAGGTATTCCTTCATTAACTAAAACAAGACTTAGAATTTCGACCAGCATTTCATGAGAGGACCGGACACTGAAACCCTTAGCCTACTTAGTTTTAAAGTTTTCGCTGAACTCTTTGAGTCCCGGAGTCGCGTTCCGGCACGTCACATGGGAATAACTATAACCGATCCAGCGCGACAACAGGGTGGATCTTCAAGTATGGGTATTTTAGAGAGTTTTATCGTTCACTTTACCTATAGCCATCTGTAAAAGTCACTAGTTTAAAGGCCTTCAAGTTTGCCCATCCTCAGTTAGCTCCTTTATTAATAATTTCCAGTACTTATTGGCTATTATTGAACCTATTCCGATTTTAATGGAAGGAATAGACTGATGAACACGCAAGTGACCTCATGTACACGCCACTTTCAGCCCCTTAGGCCATTCCTGATAACTTACAATCATTACGAACAAATACAGTTTGTCATCACTCACCTTCCCACCAACGTTTGACAAAAAATGCCTTCGTCTGACAGCATGACTCCTCGGCCTTTTAGTCCGCGTTAACCTCTCATTTTCTCTCCCTTTCTCTCTGAAATAGATGCCATTTTTGTATTGCCGATTACGTCGTTCTTGTTGAAAAACTGCCTTCTCTCATATGGAATCACTTCTCAACATGTGCAAGTTGCTTTCATACCGAAGTTAACGTCTAATGAACGTCTGGCTAAGGCGTGTTTGACTCGCTTCACTTGATACATTTTGAAGTTTTTATTGAAGTGGGCGTGGTGGTATACTTGAGTGTTTTAAAGCGTTACCTCTATGAAAATGTCTCTGCCATCACGTTCGGAGGAGTGCCATAAATATAGTGACAAAGCCAACAACAAGCAAAATTTATCTGAGTGTGTGCAAAATCGAGACAAGTTGACTCCACGAGAAGAGCTTTTTAAGCCATTTCTGAAACTCCTTCCTAGAAAAAATCGCGCTCGAGGTGGCATAACGTTCTTGAACACGAACACTTAAATGTGTCCGCCTCGATGAACTTTAGAAAAGGTGTTGCTGTCTGAAAAAAAATTGAACTTCTTTCATTATTGAATTCGATTGCTTAGAATTGAAGGTTGAAACGAGAAAATTACTTAGCCAGGGCTACGAAACATCAGCGTGCTCCAAAGGTCGGGGAAAAAGACTTAAATTCATAGATACATCTTCAAGCGGAAAGTTATGAATGAACGTTACGTCTGTAATCTTTACCCATGTTGCCAACAGCCGCTGAGCACTTGCTTGCACACAGGTCTAGGTCAGGTTATATTTCTCTCAAATTTTGCCTGAAAAATCAACGCAAAGAGGACGAAATTATTACCGCCTGATAGCCCTATACAAGTCGACTTTCCATCCGAAAGCCTGTTTCTCACGGACCAGTTGACGTAACGGCCTCCCACGTTGCTTACGTGCAGTGAGCACTTCTTCCCTGTGCACTGCCCCTCCCAGCTTTTAGTCCCTTTCTAGATTTTTCAAATTTACCTCTCTTTATTATCCTCCGGACCATAAAACAGACCATCTAAGGGGCGACGACTTCAAATCTTGCAGTTTTAACTGATAGTTGAGCTGCCTGTCTAGAATTTTCTATGCCTCCTTTTGAAGGACGTAAAAATCTTCCCAGGGACGCCCTTCCCTTACATGATTTGTTGAAATGTTAAAATAAAACCAGATCCCGAGGCAACAGGTTCGCATAGTATAAATCCAAAAGTCAGTCCGAATAATTAGGGCCATAAAGTAGGTAATGCCAAAGGTCTTGGTTAATTAGACCGCTTTATGGTTCTTGAAGCTCGAAACCCAAATAAACACAAGGAATGGAATAATAACGTTAATATGATTTGGAAGCCTTGACAAGGCCTAGGGCAGGTATTCTGCTTGGCCAAGCTTTATAACTTTTTTGTCCCAAAAATGAGAATGGCGTTATCGTTGGTCATTTTCAAATATTCTGCTTATCTGCTGATAACTTCCGCTGCAGGATAATGTCTACTAAAGTGCGCCTCTAAAATATAAAATAGAAGGGAAGTTGTTGACAATGAAGATGTGTTGTAGGCAAAGTGGGAAAAAACGATGTAGAAGACAACAATGCATATGCAACCGAGTTGTGTTGGCGATAGAGAAACCGACATTGAAATGGTCATTTTTTCGTTTATTTGTCGATGATCATACGATGAGGTCCCTATTCAGGGGTGAATAGGCTAAAATTGAGCTAGCACTGCGCATTAAAAACAGGCAAGAAACGGTCATTATGATTTAGCTGCCTTTGTTAATAAGTCTCATCGATCTTTGGCCGCTAGTCGCCATCCGACTGCTCAAAGACAAAACGGAAATGCCTACTTCCTTCCTTTACAAGGCTCTACACGTCACGCCTACGTGCTGGAAAATGTCAGAAAAGTTGCCAAATTAAAAGGCGGAAATAGGAAAACGGGCGAAATTACTGAGTCGTCGTTATAAGGGGAATATGGCACGAAAAAACCAATGAATAAAGCTGAAGGTATAAAACTTCGCCGATAGGGATTTTGAGGACTCACATATTTCAACCGATGTCAGAGCTTTAGCGAAATTGGGCAAAGGTTTGCTTCTGGGTCATGCAGTCATTTTCAGGCGAACACAATTACTCCTTAATCATGAGACAGGATAGAGGATGAATTTGAAAGCACTCAAGTCCTCCGAATCGTGCTACCGCCTTTTATTAACTACGATATAGCAATGTCTGTTATCTCCACGCCTCCAGATCGAGCCCTCAGACTTGCATTCGGCTTTGAATAAGGAAGATTTAATCGATAAATACTTGCTGTAATTTAAACTATCAACGACCATATTTTCACTGTAATCAAAATTCATCTCTTAAAAGTACCCTTGAGTCCGGTTAAGTTTCATCTTACCTTGTGAAAAACATTGTTTCAGAACCGCTGTCATGCTTACATGAACGCTTTTGGAAGGTTCTTAATCTGATAAAGAGACCTATGCTTAAATTGCTTCTCGATTGTCCAGAGGCGCGCGTTTACAAGGACAGGCGAAATTTCTTCGCAGTCACAACTTAGGGAATAATGTTTAGCTAATAGGTGGGGGGTTTCAGACTGATAGACCTATTGAATGGCCTCTTGTCTTGCCGACATCCATCTCTATTCTGACCCTGGCATGATAGTGTTCGAACACATGCACAGTATTTAGCTCATCTCGCGAAATGTTAAGTGAAATTTGAAATGTCTTGTTAATAAAGAAAGGATTTTTTGGCTGGACTGTTCTATCGATTAGCATGCATCATAACCCCAAAATGTTTCGGTGACGCTAGGAAGTCGGTTTTTGAGTAGGACTCCTTTCGGCTGTCTGCAAAAATCATACTGGAAAGGAATGATTACCTAATTATTAGGACTTGTTCCAATGATTTGCAATACCAATATAATACAGGTACACGTCTTAGAGGACTTGCAGAAAATCATCTTTTATTATACTCATTTAGTAGCAACTTAGGCCTCCTTTGGAGTGTGTACTCGTAAAAAGATTCCTCTAGTTTTCCAAAAACCTGTTCTACTCCCGAATAATCTTATATAGGAGTTGAATTTAGGCCTGTGTTTGCGTAAGCCATAAATTTCTCCCCAGTATTAAGGAGACGCTATGCGGGTCTCAGAGAATTTTATTATTGATGCGGATCATTTTGTATACATCGTAAGCAACACAACTAAGCGCAGAGATGCAATGTCACCTAAATGGAGAATTTACAATCTTAAAAAATGCCATGATTTCAAATGTCTCTTAATTTAAAGCTACACTTTTTTCAAACTGAATGTTTGATGAAGTCATAGTTTGCTACCTACTGAGTGTAAAAAGGAATATTTTATGCACGCTCTCAAAAATATACTACAGTTTGTAAGGACGTCAATATCGACGGACAAACACACTAATTAAATATTCTTCAATTACCGTGGGTGGCCCTTGCAGGCCGCTGAGGAAAGCTCGTCTAACAACCAGCGTTCTGTCATGACTGACATATTCTGGAATCATGCTGCATGATGATCAATGTAACGGCACTACCTAAGTAATCTTTTCTAATTTAAAAGGCACCTCACAATTTCGGTTAGCATTTTACAAGCCAAGTCTGTCAGTGTAAGAAGAAAGCAAAGTTTTTTTGGCGTCGAAAAATGTAAAATATCGAAGAAAAGTAGTCAACAGTGACAAAAGGGAACTAGTTATTTGCAAGACCGAGCTAAAAATGCTTAGGCATTAGCAGTGTTATCCAATCGACTTGGAATTCGTTTAGGACACTATTACTGAGTTAACAACAAGCGGACGAACCCCTCATTGTTTTCTAAATGAATGAATGACCATCTTTAACTGTGAAGGATAGACGAAACTTTTAAATGGCATTCAGACCGGAAAACGTCAAACCACTGTTCTTAAATAAGAAAGATTTTCATTTGGCTCACTGAAATTCCATGACACAGTGCTCACTACTTCGCCTTCAGCTAAGTAGGTTTCTTGTGGGGTTTGATTTATTCTACTGTATGTTAACAACTACACAACTTAGATGGCTGGACTGCAGAGACCGAGGCAACGGCATTAACAATATTCTGCTGTAGGCCGTTCGGGCAAATTTAGGTGAAGCAAAGTTTTATGGACTAGGAGGATAAGCTGGGCAACGTCACTTCGAGGCCTCATAACGTGTAGGTCACTTTTCCTAAGTGCCAAATGAATTAAGTCGGGATGGGCATATAGAAAATCGATGAGACGGTCTTCGCAAAAGTGGGCTGACCGCTCCAAAAGAGCTTGAGTCTACTCGCAAAATTCATGATGTTGCGACATTCCGGGGGGTTTTGTAGGCTAGTTGATTTTAGAAAGTTAGTGGGAAATTTACCCAGAGCACATATTTACAAAAATACAATACTATACTACTGGCTGCCTGTTGGCGGTTTGTGAATATTAAGCGGCTATTCCGCAGTAGCTGATAAATTTCAGCTCAAATATTCATATCAAATTTCGGACCGTGCCTGAAAAGGCCTGTTTCGAAAGAGTTACTCCAAGTTCGCGCATTAATTTCCTCGGAAATTAAGCAAGGCAAATACAATTTTTGTTCTTTTATGTGAGGTTTAACCCCCGTTCTCCATTATAAGGGTGATTTCGAATGCGCAAAATGCGATTGTTCAACATTGTGAGTCCGAAAGAAAGTGTAGCCCGGATAAGTCATCTGCAGGCAATTTTTCGCGTGAGATTTAATGGAAGCAAATCCAGCGATACGCGCTGCACGATGCTGATGTTCTAAAGAAGTCAGAGAAAGTATGGCAGGTTTTGCGAGAACACTTATTGCGTGCGAGATTTTTATCCTCCAGCTGCAGTAAAAGTGGTCTAGATTAATCATGGAAAAAGCATATAGAGATTATACCAGCAATTGGTAGCAGATAGCAATTATCAGAATAAACAGTCATTAAACAGGTTACTGAGCGAACTGCGCGAGTGAATCTCAACAATGACGTAAGAATTTTCGAATGTTTTAAAAAGTGGTCAGTTAGTTAGCAGATGATTTTTCATGAGTTTTTGCTAAAACTCATGATTTAATAGTCTTACGCACATTAACGGCCATTTCTCTGCTCCTCATCCCGACTGTCTTCGTAAATATTTGCCACACTCCAGCTTGCAAGGAAATCAGTAGAACAAAATATTAAACTGGGTTCATGTTAATGATGCAACTTACATTTACATATTAGACACATGTTCCCAAAATCCTCTGGTTCAAAGATATTACTAAGCTCACTTTGGTTTTGCAAAATGGGATAAAAGTACAAACGTTCATTTTCAACTTTTAAATTGAAATTGACATGGCGATTGGAGGAAATTGATATTGAAATATCTGCTCAAAGTCCACCAGACAACAATTTCCGTTGTTGTATGCAGACTTTATTGCTCATGCTTTTGAAGGATTGCTCACCTGAACCCACAACCCATTGCATCTGAGTCCGTAGAACATGAAGCGACCTAAAATGCTCCATTATCGCTGTAATGAATGCTATAGTTGACTTCCACCGCACAAATGTACCTGGATATGCCATATGGATGAGAAGTGGGCTACTATTTTAATTGTTTATTTTGACCGTAAATTTTTTTGACAGGCACTTTCGTAGCTGGGAAATCTACTAAATTTGGAATCTGTAAAAAGAGTAATAGATCTAGAAGCTCCAACACTCATAACAAGCACTATTTAAAATAAGTTGTCTTTATTCGTGTTTAATGAAATTCAAACTTGGTATACATCTTAACTTAGGAAGGAAATGAACGGGTCGACATTTCCGGTTGAATAACTTAGTCATAGTTGCGTAATCAATCGTTCTCTTCACGGAACGAAAATTGAGGTCTATTTTTCTCTTCCTAATTGTAAGTTACTGCAGCAGCGGGCTGCATCATATTCTTCCCTGCCGTAATACCACTCTGCAGAGAGCAGAGGTCCAGGATCAACAGCATTGACCACTAATGGGTGAATAAGTGGGATACCATTCAGGGCAGTCATTCAACTGTGAGCCCGTCGGCCACAATGGCAGGCACAACCTGAATAGGGCGTCGACGGAACGACGGTCCATTTCACCCTTTCGGTTGTAGAGAAAGAGGTGTGGGGTGAGACCTGCGCATGCAGCACGTTCAGCGGTAGGTCTTTTCAGCATTTCCAAAAATCCCGCCCGACTGCCTCTGTGAGTGCGGTGAAGGTTATCACGCCCTCTCGGTCGGGCATCCCAACATATTACGGGTGGCCCCGACGCTAAATTCCAGTAGGGTATCCACGTCATTGTTCCGACCTTAACGAACACTAACGTCAAACCTGACCCTATTACCTCTAACCACACTAACCCTACCACCAGTCCAACCCTTACCCTAGCCTGTCCTGGGAAGTTGACATAAAATCACTTCACCCTCCCCTTAACAATCTTCAGACTCTGCACTGTTTGAACTCATGGCAGGGACTCGATCAGAACTTCTCGGCGACCAGCTATTCGGCCTATTTTTGCACAGATTCCCCGGGTGCCCTCGAAACTGGGCCCCAAATTTAAGTCTTTTCATAAGTAGTCTGTTTTTGGCTCATACTTCCATTACCGCAGTTCGATCGTTTCGCCTTACAGAAAGCGGGGCTTTCTGGAGAAGGTTACAATTGAAATTGCCATAACCTCTGGGGCTGAGAACCCGGTCCGAGTCTACGCACATGTTCGTATCATAAGGAATGCTCAGTTCGTCCGTATTCAACTTCAGTTTAAGGAAGAAATCTTGGTCCTCTTCGAACTTACCCTTAACGTCGCCGCTGTCAGTTGTGTTATTTATGACGTACAGTGCGTGACCGATCTCATGATGTATTAGCCAAAATTCTGAAATGCGCTTTCGATTAGGAAGGATAACTTAGGTGGGATTGTAACAAGCAGCACAATACTGTAGTATTTCGAACAGATTAGGATGTCGGCTTTTGAATTCACTTCTTTTTGACCTTTCGCGAAGCCACACTTGATAAAAATGTCTGCTTAAGTAACGCGCATTTTTCCTATTGATTGTCGATGGTTTTATAAGTTCGGATATATTTTCTAGAACACCCGCATTAAACAAATGCTGTTTACAGTGCGTGACCTATCTCATGAAATGTTGGCTGAAATTCTGAAATGCGTTTTCAATTTGGAAGGATTACTTGGTCGCGGTTGTGATACTGATTATCCTAAGACATACTGTTATAACATTTTGGACTCGGCAAGATGTCGGCTTTTAAATGCACTCCTTTTTAATCTCCTGTAGAAAGCGTGCTCGGTAAAAATGATTACTTAAGTAGCATGCATTTTTCCCATTGATTTTCGATGGTTTTGGAAATTCAGATATATTTCATAGAAACGACAAACAAAAATATGCTTTCTTTTAGTCAATCAATAGAGAATCACGTCTTCTTTATATTTTATACTTAAGGAAGGAGTATAATTAGGTTTTAAAAAAGTTTCTAATTATGAGACTTTTTAAGACCGCGATATGTCCATTCACATAGCATCGTACCTGGCAGTTTACCACTGCTCCTCATGAAATGTATAACATGGTCCTCATCCATTGCAAAATTTTATGGACCCTGTATAATATCTCTTTAATGACATAGAAAAATATGGGATTTTCTTTACACGGAACGCATGCACCTTGTAGAGTGTAATCAATAAGCGCTAATGCAACGAATAATCAGACTCCAAATTTTTCGACAATTAGAACACTTTTTGAAAACCTTGTTATACTCCTTCCTTAAGTATAAAATATGAAGAAGACGTGATTCTCTATTGATTGACTAAAAGAAAGCATATTTTTGTTTGTCGTTTCTATAAAATATATCTGAATTTCCAAGACAATCGAAAATCAATGGGAAAAATGCATGCTACTTAAGTAATCATTTTTACCGAGCACGCTTTCTACAGGAGATTAAAAAGGAGTGCATTTAAAAGCCGACATCTTGCCGAGTCCAAAATGTTATAACAGTATGTCTTAGGATAATCAGTATCACAACCGCGATCAAGTAATCCTTCCAAATTGAAAACGCATTTCAGCATTTCAGCCAACATTTCATGAGATAGGTCACGCACTGTACTTCTTTAGTGGTGAATCACATTGCCTCCATATTATGTATCCGAAGAAAGTGTATATTTAGGCTATAAAATGGTTTCCAAAAAGTTTCCCAGTTCCCGAATAATTTTAAGCATAATCTGCAATTGCATCAACGTTTAGCTTTCCACTCAAGGAAAATAATGTACTTCTTTATGCCTTTAAGACGATGCCATATAGAGTTCATAAAGTTTCGCAATCGATCCAGACCGTGTTATCCACCTCATGAGGAGCATTGGTAAACGGACATGTGCTCTCCTGTATACATGGACATCGCACAGACTTACAAATCTCATAATTAGGAACCTCTTTAAAACCTGGAGGTACACTTTCTTCGGGTATAAAATATGAAGGCAATGTGTTTTACCACTGAAGAAGTAAACAGCATACTTTTAATGCGTGTTTTCTAGAAAATATATCTGAACTTATAAAACCATCGACAATCAATAGGAAAAATGCGCGCTACTTAAGCAGACATTTTTATCAAGTGTGGCTTCGCAAAAGGTCAAAAGGAAGTGCATTTAAAAGGCGACATCCTGGTGTGTCCGAAAGGCAATAGGATTTTGCTGCATACTAATGCATATTACAACCCCACCTAAGTTATCCTTCCTAATTGAAAGCTCATTTCAGAATTTTGGCTAATATTCCATGATATCGGTCACGCATTGTAGGCATTCGGAGTCGCCGCCGACGTCCGTAGTGGCGGACCGGCTGTTATTACCTTTATTAGGTTATTACTAAGGTCGCGATAAATGAGTCCCAAGCCTGTAGTTTAAATCTCACAATGCGTAAACTTTCCCGGTGTCGATAACTTAAGCGTAGGTTTCCTGCGATTTCACATTTTCCGGCGACTCTGAAGACAATATACTGCGGAGAATGATAAACCGACAAAAACAGTAATGATATTAATAGAGTATCACTAGTGTTAGGGGGCGATTACCGATCGTTCATACGGAACTCACTCGTTCCGTTGTGCCTTATGGACTCTCTCGAGCCCAACCAGCAGTCGCACAGCGGCGCATGATATATAGGCAGAATGGTGGCCCGGTGGGTAGAGGCGTGGACTTCTAAACCAACAGGTCGCGAGTTCGAGGCTCGGGTTTTCCACACTTCGGGCTTGGGTATGACTGATTGACGACGGCTAATAAGCCAGAAATGGCCATTCCAGTCTCCCTTGTCTTTGTCGGTAATACCATTCTGCCTATATAGAGTATCACTACTTCACAACTAGCTAGATACTACTGCCTCCTACGTCAACTGTCGGTCACATGGGAACCCCTACAGGCTGCCACCGAGGTGCCTTTCAGCTGACGGTGCTGCTACCTTACGAAGGAAATATGTTAGACACCTTTTTCTTATTTCTCCCTTATAGTGATGGCAACGAACTCGAATAAGTCTATGCAGCGTTGGGCGGTCTTTGACCAGACCTTTACTGTTCACACCTCTCTCCCTGTCTGTCCCTTCGGACCTAAGGCAAGGATGACGGTTTTCCTGTAATGCGTAGGCCGTGTGATGACGGAGGTAATTTCTAAGCAAATTGGATTATAGTGGGGAACACAAGTCCTGCATCATTGACCTACCTCCGTTCGGTTCTCATTGTGTTTTACTGACAAGGCTGAGGGAGAAGAGACATAGAGATGACTGAAAAGTAGATTAGACGAAGAGACTGGCAGGGTCTGCACCTTCGCCCTCATGGCAGACAGTCTGGACCGTCCTGCTGTCTAACCACACTCCACACGCTCTCGTCCTGTTCAGCCCTTAAGGTTGCCCTGACGTTGCCAGCTGTCATGCTGCAGTTTCCTTTAATCTGAGAGCATTGAGCGTGCATAAGCAATTGGATAAACCTCCATGCTAAGCCCTCCGGAAGGTTTTTGAAAGCCGGCAGACATCTTTGTTTCAGTACTTTGAGGGAACAGCTTGTTCGTCATTGCACTCTAAGTTGACCGATTTTACAGTAAAACTGCATTACCGCACTGATTGGACGCGATAAAAGCTAAGAAATCCTGCCACAATGCAGGAGCATACTATAAGGGCTGTTTTTTAATTATTGGCAACCAGCAGCTAGTGAGCTTGGTTAGTGGCAGCCCTATGGAAGCGAAAATAAGCCACTAAGACAATGCACGGAGGAACATGCGTGCAGCAGATTTCTCCCCATGCTAGCGTTCAGTTGACAGCCAAAAGCTCTCTCGCAGTCGGCGGTTCTATAGTGTGTGAATAATTGGATAACAAGTCAATAAAGTATCTACTCTGTCAGATCGTCTCTCTTATGTGTAACATGTTCGGAATTAATCCATTGGAAGTTATGCAGTGAAGTTGACCAGTCTGACTCAGCTCTCTGCCGAACTAACAGAATGTCCAAGGCGGTAAAAACCCAAAGCATGTATATCGTTATGATTCCTGTACACGCGCAGTATGCGAACGAACTCATGAAATGAGACGATCAATTGCGGACAAATGCATGCTACAAATTTTCCTTATTCGTCTAGCCTATTCCAGAAAATGTCCCTTTTGAATGCCCCCTATGTTTATAGGTAATTTCCAAGTGAAAAATCTCAAAAATTTTTCAGTGCAGGATGTGGAGTTAAGTCTCCCGGACATGACTTTTCTGAGGCAGGCCCGAGATTTCAATGAACATTTGAGTAGAGCATGATCGACTTCTGTGTCATAACTACGCAATGTCCATTTTATAAATGAGTAGTACTAAAAGTAGTATGGAATGCATATGCCAGAGATACTATACCATACTCCCGACATAGATACTAACTAAAACCCCCAGGCACATGTTTTCCCGACATTCTGCCGCTGCGTGACACAGCTGCGAGGCGTTCGGCTCCTCGTTTGTATAATGGGCATTACGTGTTTAGGCCACAGTAGTCGATTGTCTTTGACTCAAATGTTCGTTGAAATTTTGGGTGTGACCCTAAAAGGTCATGTCTCGGAGATTTAACTCCATGTCCTGCACTGAATAATTTCTGAAATCATTCACTTGATCATTGTCTGGAGTATATATATATATATATCAGAAATCGCAAAGAGGACGCTGGGGTACCCACTGATGATCCGAACCCCTCACAGCTGTGTCACTCAGCGGCAGAATGTCGGTGAAACACGTGTCTGGGCTTTCATTTAGTAGCTGTGCCGCGAGTACGGTATAATATCTTTGATAAATAATTGTACTAGTCAAAGTTTTATTATTTTTGGCGGAAAGTTGCATCATATCGTGCTCCGCTAGTTCGCCATGCTGATATCTATCCTAGTCTAAGTTTGAACATCCATTCATATTCTTCTATGAGAAGAGTGTAAGCCAGCCTCCCGTTTTCCAAGTGTAGCTTGCCGCGTTTAACAGTTGATTTCTTTCGCCATGTAAACCAGTTAGAGTGCGGTGTATGGGGGCAGGTTATTTTTGGGAAATGAAATGTTTTGTCGATTTTAAAGAGTCGAATTTGCGAACCTATGGGACAGCATGCCACATAACGCAGTAATAACTCGTACTTACGATATTTTGTTTAAATGTTCTAGTACTTTTTGGCCTTTGCGAATAATCAATAACTTGCCGCAAGAAGACTCTTAATAAAATGATGTAGTAGGGAACGTTTCTAATTGATCTAAGGCATATCCAGTGGCGTCTTGTATTTTAGGTGTCCGTTTTTCTCGTCGATGAGTGCACATGTTTGGATGAGTTGACAAATACGACCCAACAGACCGTGTGCGTTAGAGAAAGTGTTCAAGAATTCACTATGTCCGTAAATGCTTTCGAGAGTCGACATTTAAGGGCAATCGATTGGAAACACGGAAATCATGAAGCATTAGCCACCCTTTAAAGGATCATCTGTAACTCATCGTGCTCCAGCATGAAAACTAACCATAAAGAAATTTGTCAGAAATGTCATGTTTGCGATTGCATCTGCGCATTATTTTTAAACTTATTGATCATTGATTGGCATAGCAAAATGCGCCTAATGAAAACTTTTCCCTGTGGCATTTCTGTTGGTGAAATCAAGCAAAAACCTATTTGATTTAGTCGACTACATGGGCTTTCTCTCATGGACATGCGTGTCGTGTGCACAATACATGTATACCTACCTCGAATAAAAAGGCCTCGTTTCTTCACGGCTACCTGATGTACATGTATATGGGTAGGGAAAGATTCCCCAGTCTTGTCACGATAGACTCTACCAAAGGTGGTACATGATATCATGTGGACGACTCCTTTTCCATCAGAATAGCCAACCGCATCATTATGGCGTACAGACTGGGTAGAGAATGTAACTGTATGCTTGTGCAGTATACTGGTCAAGTGTTGTGGCACGCCTAGGTGCGGGTCCGGCCGTGCCAGCCACCTGCACTCTCTCCCACCTCCTATTTCTTGACTCTGTCTTGACACCGGGCTCAGGTTGGAGGAGGAGGAGGAGGAGGAGGAGGAGGAGGAGGAGGAGGAAGAGGAGTGGGGACGGTAAATGCCACACTAGCTTTCTCTCTCTTGTCACCGTGCTTGATCTCACCTTGTTGTGAAACTCGAAGAGGACATCATTTGACGCGACGACCTAACTGTCATGCTTGTGGGGTAACAGTATCTGGTGCTTTTCGGATGTCTTTCGACCAGCTGAGACACATTCTTCGCACGAGTGACAGTGGGTCAGCTGGTTGGTTTCAAAGTCTGGGTGGTCGTAGCACCCAAATCACTCTTTTTCTTGGACTGCTTTTGACGGACAAAGTCTGGGGGACATATGCTTTGCGAAAATAGTTCAAAAGGTATTTTGTTTCTGTTCGATAAACTACTTCATCGGAACAGTGCATTTTAGTTCGACTCAGTTAGGTGTCAGCAAAGTCACCTTTGCGGGAGATTGACTCATTGCTCCTAAGGAAGGTACGATAGCCTCCGAGTATGTTATTGTGCGATAAACTGATGCCTACAGCCGTCCATCAGTCTTTCTGCGTGCTAGGACATATGAGAATGTGGGTTGTCCATCAGCCTCTTCCTCGAAGGTAAGTTGAGTTTCTGGAAAAATGAAGTTAAGTGCGTTGTGGGGTAGTTCTGACTGATTTGTTTGACAGTAACGAAGACGCCGTCTATGTTGACTACGTGCATAATTGAGCAAGCTTTTCCCTGTACTGTGCCTCAGGCTAGGCAAAGAGTCGTAACAAAGAACGTCAGCGAAGCTATTTATAATTCGTCCTCATATGGGTGTGTCGCCAGCTGACGAACGCAACGCCTGGTTTTCTGGCCAGTCTGAATAACATTACGCGGTCATTAAGTCTCGACGGCGCTTGCCGAGCAGTTCGATGACGGGGTGCCTTGTGAGCATTGACGGCTCAGGCTAAGAAGTGCGTATTTCGAAGACATTTATGCGACATTTTGGACTAAGCGGACGCGTTATAACTGAATTTTGCCTTCTACCTGAGGCCTATTTGCATCAAGGAAGAGTTGGCAAAGATCTGCGGCTTTGGAATAGTAACTGCCATTTGTAAATTCATTCCTCCTTTATCTCAGTATCCCAAAACCAACCACCCCTGGAATCAGAAGCACACGAGGGCACAAGTCTGCGCTCTGTCATCGTGATCCGGGGACGAGTAATTAGCACTTTTGACGTCAGAGGATCGAATAGCCCAGACTACGAACAACAGAATCTTCAAAACATATTTTAGAATCAGAAGAATAACGCTGAGTCTACCATGTCTTACTGACGAATACTTAAATGCACCATCAGAGTAAATATTCAGCGGCGAACCCATGAATAATACTTCTTCCCAAACATAAAACCACTTAGGCGTACCCTGTAACTAAACGGCCGGATGTGTCTTTTACGGTTTTATGTTACCGCATGGTCAAGGCGAGGTCTGACTCATCAGTAGGTGTGGGACTCTAGAGAGTACCCTTGCATCTTACGATCAGTTTCTGTGTAAAGCACATATCGCTGCTATATATGCAAGCAGGAACCTTACGCGGTCTTCCGCTGGCCGTCATTGCGTCCACTAGAAATATGTGCTGGAAAGGTGGGGCCGATCCTAATTAGGCTATTCTTCGTTGAATACGTTCTAATGGAATTTTGAAATCTCCAGTGCCAACTGGAGTATAAAAATGCTGATTCAGCATCCACTATAAATAAAAATTCCCAGTTATACTTGCAGATTTGGAGAACGTGTTGGTTCTACTTATGGACATAAGTGACTGACACTTCAGATTACACAGACGTTGAAGGAAAGCCCTTACTTTGCCAGGGCAAAAAGTTTTTCAACAGATAAAACTCACGCACATATCCGTCAGGTATATAGGAAAATGCGTTTGTGACGAAAAAGGCATTTAGCTCATTAATGTGCTGAGTTCCAGAAAGTATTGAATGCACTTTTATATAGGAATATGTAATAATGCGGCGTTGCTAAATTGACATATGGGGTTAGATTAGCAAGGATAAATTATATGACCGGAATCAGGAAAAGGTAGACGCTGGACCGTGTCCTACGGTAATGATGATGATGATGATGATGATGATGATGATGATGATGATGATGATGATGATGATGATGATGATGATGATGATGATGATGATGATGATGATGATGATGATGATGATGATGATGATGATGATGATGATGATAGGGATCATACCTGTGACGCCTCAGAGCGAGACACTGAGAAAAAAGTCAAAAACTACCATGTAGCATTGCATGCAATGAGATAGTAAACGGAAGTTGGCCTCGCAATTTAAAGGAAAATAAGAAACTATTAATCAGTAATTTCAGATGCAGAGGATTAGGCCGTGTCGTAATGTTCTGCATTGAGCAGCCGAACATGAGAGCGATGCAGGCGGTTGTAAGGTGCATAGGAAGACGCCTCTTGCATCCCTTCAACTGCTGACAGATCTTTAGCCTTCTTCCAAAGTATCACCTGTAGGAAGTGCAGAGCAATGAATCTTTAAAGACTTTTTTGCATCACCGCGTCCACGGAGCGGGGTTAAAGCCGTCGAAAGGCGTGACTGCATTCCGACCAAAGACTTCACCGACCAACGCCTATATTGATAAATATATTAAGCATTTCTGAAGGGTAAACCTACCCCGGTCATATACTTTATCCTTATCTTTAGTTTGCTGTCAAGGTTGACTACAGCTCTTGAGTTTATCCCGAAATCTAGATTTCTTTCAACTTTCATAGTCCAAAATGCACAACTAGCTTAAGCTCCGTTTATTTTTAAGCCAAATCTTGGCGGAGTCCGAATCTTGCTATTCCACGCGATAACGCCTCGAGCTTCGAGGTACAAACAAGTTCACTACTTATAAGAGGCCACATTTTGGATGCATGCGCAAACTGCTCACAAGATGTACACGGCTATACGGAAAACAAGCGGTCCAAAATAGCCCGTAAAACATATTCTGTTTTGAAGAAAATGCACTCGATTCATCTTATTCTATAATAATTGCAGACGATATTTGAGGCACTGTTG